GTAATGTTGGCTTTGTTTGTTTTGTTTGTCTGGTTTGTTTTTCCCAGATGGGATATTCAGAGGATCAGGGAACAAAGAATTTTACAGCGACTGCAGCTCAGAATGTATAAAAAGAAAGGAATTCAGGAATCTGAGCCTGAGGTTACCTCATTTTTCCCTGAGCCAGATGATGGTAAGTTTTGTCTACTTAAATGAGTAGTTTTTTTAACCAAGAAAATGGGCACAAGGTTCCAGGCTACAACTTGTTCTGAATGAATGAACTGTATGTTGGAGCAGGTGTAGTTGACAGACATTTCTCAATTACGTCACTAACAAGGTTGCATTTGGCTTTCTTCCCTAGTTGAAAGTTTGATGATTACTCCCTTCTTGCCTGTTGTAGCATTTGGACGACCATTACCAAAATTAACTCCACAGTAAGTATAAAGGGTTATTTTTCCTCTCCCCTCTCAGGTAGCTGATACTTTACCTCCCTGTCAGTCTGTATGAAAACCTGGATATAAGGGGAATTGGGTGGCTTAGAGCAGTGATCGGCAAACTGCGGCTCGCGAGCCACGGTTTGCTGCTCTGTTGACTAATGAGTTTGCCGACTGCTAGACTAAATGTTACCGTGTAGTTGGAAGCTGAGGGGATTAGGCAGTAGTGGCATATTGTGTGCAAAGAGGTAAAGGGTAGTATATGACAGTGGTCGGCAAACTCATTAGTCAACAGAGCCAGTTTGCTGACCACTGGCTTAGGGGTTAGCTATGATTCTTGGACAGAAGAGAGACTACCTGGGCAACTAGCTTGTGCAGTGATAAGATTCCCAAGCCCAGAAATAAGAGGATTTGTTTTTTAGTTAGAAATAGATTATTCAATCACTTGGAGGCAGGAAAGACATTCCACAGTTGGGACTTGGGAGTCAGGACTAGGAGTGGTGAGGGACATTGTGTTTTTTTCAGTTATTCTCATGTCCACACTGAGTCCCTCTAGTGTTGGACATTGATTTCCTTATCCTTTTTGCCAGGAATTTTGAGCTGCCCTGGTTGGATGAGCGAAGCCGATGCAGGTTGGAGATCCAGAAGAAGCAAACACCTCACCGGACGTGTAGGAAATAGCTGTGTGCTGGCGAGAACCTTCTGTCTTCAGATAGTTGTAGCGTGCCATTCCCAGAGAGTGGCAGAGACCTGTGTATGTGACCTGTGTCCTCATGTATGTTATTCACTGATAGTGCCCTTCCATACTCCCTTGATCTTGGTTTTGTTTTCATCATTCTGATTTCACAAAAACTCTTTCATTGGGCTAGTTGTGAATTATAGAAGGTGATTGGGATATCTTTTCCTCTTTTGGGGAAAAGAGCTCTCAAGCTAAATCTCTAAGGTGGCAGATCTGGAAGCTTGCAGGGTCTGCTTCTGTACATTTGCCGATGTTAAAGGGGTAAAAGGGCTCTTTCATTCACTTGTGGAAATAAAGCATCCCTGCCGTTAGATCTGTGCTGCATGGCACTCTGCTTGCCCTGGGATACCCTCCCATGTAGTTTGAGTAGAGTGGTTTTTACCCCAAAACAAACAAACAAAAACCCAACACCATGAGCTTAAGGACCAGATGAGGAATAACTGAAGTGATGAAGCAAGTCATCATCACAGGGTAGCGTTTGGAGAGTTTGTAGGTAAATGTCTGGAAAGATAGTTCTCTTAAAACTACTCTGTGATAATAGCCATGTGGCAAAGGATGATTGGCTGTTTTTGTTTTTGTTTTTTTAGTTAATGGGTAACTGAATTTCTTTCCCCACCCCTCAAAAAATAAAGTCTTTGGAAAATAGAATGGGGATGGTTACTTTTGGACAAGTTATAGCTCTAAACAAAAGCAGTTGACATTTGGGGATGGCATGCCAGAACCTGTACAGATGTCCTTGTGTCACATCACTTATTGGGCTTTATCCTTTTAGCTGAGCTCTTGGTGGTGGGATAGAGATTTAGGGAGGGTGGGGGGTGAATGTGGAGATATGTGCTTCCTTTGGCTGGCAAATGTCTACATCTTTAAACAGACAGATGTACCTGATGAGCTTCTCTATTCACTTTGTAAAAACCGATTTGTATGTGTACCATCTTGGTCCCCCCTCTCCCTCACCACCACCACTACCACCACCACACACACCCCTTTTGTTAAAAAATGTCAGCCCAGCACTCCAGGCCACTTTGGTCTCAGTGTAAGTTCCCTGTAACTATCTGGAAGGAAAACAGAGCCAAGACCTCTGGTCTTAAATATATAGGAATTGCCTTTCTTTAGTCTTCAGGACTACTGTGTGAAAACAAGTAGGGGCCTAATCTCCTAGAAGATAGGGACTTTTATCCTTGAAGAGAGTATGTCCCCAGATTATTAGCACTTTTAGAGGAAAAGCCAAGGTATGTAGGGTGTGTGGCCGGCCCATCAGTGGAGCATGAGAGAATGGAATACCATTGTGGGAAGAAAAGAGAAGTTCCTCAGGGGCCTCCCACTGCTAGAGCTTTTTGTGAGATGTTAATCTGCTCCCTGAGTTTGACTTTTAAAGAATTATTCTGGCAGCACATGTAGTATTCTTGGATGATCTTGCTGCTCTTATTTCTCCGTGTGTGTGTGTGTGTGTGTGTGTGTGTGTGTGTGTGTGTGTGTCTGTGGCTTTGGGTTTTCATCTGTAACTCCATCTGCTTAGGAGAGTGGGCTCTCCACAAGGGAACCTGCTATGAACTTCATTGCAAGAATATAGAGAGAAATAGGACTTACTTTATTCCTCTAGGGGCTCTCGTCTCACACCTTGAGAAGAGGAAAGAGATTTCCAGAAAAATGGCCAGATTTTCTTTGTTCTCCATCATTTTAACATGGCAAGCTGTTTGGTTTTCCTACTCTGACCCATGTTACGTTTATAATGTGCCCAAGAAGGAAAAAGACCAGTGTCTTGACTTTGTTCCTTGCTTCCTTGAAGTTTCTTCTTGATTTTCAGCATTTTTATTGGATTCCTAATTTGGGTATGAGTTAGCAAATTAATCTTTTGTTTGTGCCCTACCCAGGGGCCCCAGATTCTGAACTTGAGCTAGATGAAGAGGAATCTTTGAGGTGCTAATAGCCAGACTTAATTGGATTCTATTTCCTTGGAAATCCCTCTACCTAGAACCTCTAATTTTATCGTCCCCTCTTTTAGACAATTCTCCTTTGATTCGGATGTATTGAGGTTTGTTGAGAAGAATTTTGGAGAGTAGATTAGCAAAGTTCCAAGAGTGAAATTACAGTGTGTTAAGAGTGGGGGGGGAAAATTAATCTTATTTTTTCCCCACATGGGGGTACAACACTGTGAAATTCAGTCTTAACTGAAGGCCCCGCAGTTCTCCTAAAACATAGATCTTTGTTTCTTTAACAAAGTTTAAGCTAGTGTTAATAAATTAAAGAGAGAAATTGCTTGTCTGTCCACTTCAGCTTTGTTTTAAACCCATTTCATATTGTTGTCTGTGTTGTAATTCATACTTTTGATACCATTTCTGATGTGTAAAATTGGTTGTCTTGTAAATATCTTATAAAGAGTTCAATTGTAAATAAACTATTGTGGCTGTTAATTTTTGAACTTCTGCTTCAATTTATTTTATTGTGAAGCATTAAATAATTCTGTTTGTAGATTTTATTTAATATGTTTTATTGATTTCAGAGAGGAAGGGAGAGGGCAAGAGAGAGAAACATCAATGATGAGAATCAATGATCGGCTGCCTCCTGCATGCCCCCTACTGGGGATCTATTGCACCACCTGGGCTTGTGCCCTGATCATGACCAGAATTGAACAGTGACCTGATTCATAGGTTGATGCTCAACCACTGAGCTATGCTGGTGGTGGTTTTTGTTTGTTTGTTTGTTTTTTACATTAAATCATACATCATTTTGAACTAGGGCAGTTGGTTTTTGGAACTAGATTTACAAGTTCTCACACTTGGCAACTTGTTTACAGTTGAGATCTGTTTGGATCCTGGTTCTATCTCTGAAGGCTTTGAGAATGCCTTCTCGTTTCATATTGCCTGTAACTTTATAAGCATCAGGATCCTTAATCATAACTTGTAAAGATATCACACATGAAAGAATCCTGTGCTGTGCCACAGGGACCTTTTTCTGATATATATTAAGGTGTATTCTTGTAGGTGCACTAATAACTTAGCTCACCTATCTTGTATGTATATGTCCAAAGAAAATACTAGTGGGGAAAAAGGTTTACAGTTGTTTGTATGGAATACAATAGCTAATAAATAGTAATACAAGAATAAACTTGTAGGTACTCAACTGTAAACCTAGTTTTGCTCCACCTGGTATACTGGGTTTTTTCGTACTGACAAAAAAAATTTTCAGTCTTGCTAAAATCAAAGCATTTCCTCATCTGGTTAACAAGGAAATCATGCCACTACATTAAACCAATGACGGTTCCTAATCATCTCTTTTTTAAATCAATTCTAAAATCTTGTAAGACTTAGCATCATGCCAGCCTGCACTTTGGGAGAGGTGGTGGCTGGGGTGGAGAGATACATGAATGGAGGAAATGAGAACGAAGGGAACGTGCAACTGTAAATCCTCGGGCTTCCTGCAGACATCATGGCTTTTCCTTCGCCCTTTAGCCTAAAATGGGACGGGGTGGCAATACTGATGATGCGGCACTACTTCAGAAGTTTACCTTGGGTCGTGATTTCACCAAATTCAGTAAAATGATCTGCTTCCAACGTAGGCAGAAACAAGAAATCGAAAAATAAACCATCAACAGCTCTAATACCGCAGTGAAGCTATGACAGATCGACGCCTTCCACTCGGGAAGCCCAAGATGGCCGGACGAGCGGCCGAAAGAGGCTACCCAAACGCAGATCGCCCTCGCCCTGAGCCTGCCCGAAAGGAAGTCAGAAGGCGCGCCCCGCCCCCTGACGTAACCGATTACGTAATCCCGCCCGCCCGCAAACGTGCCGCAGCGCGCTAGGCCCGCCCCCCGCGCCCCGCCCCCGAGAAGCGGGCGGTCAGTGCCTCACGCGAAGCATGCTGGGACCAGCTTTCCAGCCTCCCGGCGGCCCCCGCGAAGGGCGTACGTCAGGAACTGGCTGGGGGCGGCCGTTCTCCGTAAGATGGCTGACCGGCGGCGGCAGCGCGCTTCGCAGGACACAGAGGACGAGGAGTCCGGTGCTTCCGGCTCAGACAGCGGCGGCTCCCCGGCTCGGGGCGGCGGGGGCTGCAGCGGTAGCACCGGAGGCGGCGGCAGCGGCTCTCTGCCTTCCCAGCGCGGAGGCCGAGCTGGGGCCCTCCATCTGCGGCGGGTGGAGAGCGGGGGGGCCAAGAGCGCCGAGGAGTCTGAGTGTGTGAGTGCGCGCGGGCGGGGCGCGGTGGTCGGAGCGGCGGCTGGCGGGCCGGGGGCGGGGTGTGCAGGTGATGGTGGGAGGCTGAGAGTCAGCGATCGATGCTGAGGCCCATTGTGTTGGAGTAGAGGACGGCTATCCCGGGGCGGTTTGCATCCGGAGCCCCCAGGGAAGAGGAGGGGTCGGGGGTTTCTGGGAGGAGTGCGGAGCCGCTGCGGATCGACAGCGAATGTTATTCACAAACGGGGCTGGAGGCGAAGAAGAGACCGGACCTCCCTCCGATGCTGCTTGTTAAAGAAGTGCCCATCCTCATCTCCCTTTTTGACTATTTTGTGTTGAGTCTACAGCTCTCCACCCTCTGGAAATCACTGCATAACCCATGACTTCTTTCTTTCAGGAGAGTGAAGATGGCATCGAGGGCGATGGTGAGTAGCATCATGGTGGTATTTTTGTCCCGAAACTCAGGTCACCTGTTTCCAGCAGTGACATCTCTGGATGTTAGGGATTTGGGGGGGGTGGGCGGGGGGAGAGTGGTACAGAGTGTCTCTTTGTAGCATAATACTAAAGAGCATAACGTTTTAGCGGTATGATCTTTGAGCCCGTTTCCCATCTGTAAATGGGGACTATAATTTTACCTACTTCATAGGTTGATATCAGATTTAAATTATATTTAGCAGTCAGGAAATGTAATTATAATCATTTCTAGTTTTTTTTTCTTGACATATTTCTGTTTTCTTTTCAGCTGTTCTTTCGGATTATGAAAGTGCAGAAGACTCAGAAGTGAGTGTGATAGGTTTTTTCCTTTGATGTCTATATTTAAGTGTATTTTAAAAACATGTGTGTGTATATATATGCCTGTGGTTCAAAAGTATCATGACCTACTTGTTACTCTTTTGCATTCTTTATGCTTTGGAAAAGCTGATACATAGTTTTTTTTTAAAAAAAAAACATTTTTAGTTTTATTTATTGACTATAGAAAGAGAGAAACACCGATTTGTTGTTTTGATCATTCATTCATTCATTCATGTGTGTGTCCTCACTGGAGATTGAACCTGCAACCTTGGTGTATTGGGATGATGCTTTAACCCAGTAGTCGGCAAACTCATTAGTCAACAGAGCCAAATATCAACAGTACAATGATTGAAATTTCTTTTGAGAGCCAAATTTTTTAAACTTAAACTTTATAGGTAGGTATATTGTTATTAACTTAATTAGGTTACTCCTAAGCTGGCTTTTGCAAAAAACTCAAGGGGCCAAAGAGCCGCATGTGGCTCGCGAGCCGCAGTTTGCCAACCACAGCTCTAACCAACTGAATTACCGGGGCCCAAAAGGTCTTGTTCATTTAGAGCAGGGCTGGGAACCTTTTTTCTGACAAGGGTCATTTGGATATTTATAACATTTGCGGGCCATACAAAATTATCAGCTCAAAAATTAGTTGCTATGAAAAAAGCTAGATTTATTGAGAGAGACACGTTGATTGGTTGCCCCCTGTTCTCAGTTTTGCTTTCCATTGAAGACCTGTTGATTATTTCAGCGTTCTGTCTGCAGATCCACTTACTTCTCTGCTTTCTCAGGCACTGACACTAATTTGGTACGGGTCTTGTGGCTGTTGGTGCTTTGTTCTTATTGTGTGTGTGTACTTTGTTATGTGCATTTATTTAAGGATACCTTGTAACCTAGGTGGTTTTTTTTTTTTTTTGCTGTTTGTGTGTGTGTGTGTGTGTGTTATTAGAAGGATTTTGATTTTGTTGTCTAGAAGTTCTCATTTCATGTGGATATTTGAAGGTCAAAAACTATGCTACTACAGCTGAAACCGGTTTGGCTCAGTGGATAGAGCGTTGGTCTGCGGACTCAGGTGTCCTGGGTTCGATTCCGGTCAAGGGCATGTACATTGGTTGTGGGCACATCCCCAGTGGGGGGTGTGCAGAAGGCAGCTGGTGGATGTATCTCTCTCATCGATGTTTCTAGCTCTCTATCCCTCTCCCTTCCTCTCTGTGAAAAATCAATAAAATATGTATTTTTTTAAAAACCAAAAAACTATGCTACTGCCATTTTTTCAGAATCCTTCAAGAAATTTTTTTAAAGAAACTTGACTCTGAAGGGAGAGGCGAGAGAGAGAGATGGTAGCTGGAAAGAAGCCTATGAGGTTAAGAGAGGGTTTGTTGGTTATTTTTTAAAGTTGGAGACTCAAGTATGGTTAAAGATGGAAAGAATGAGTAAAAGGGAAGGAAAGAGGAGGGAGTAGGCACTGTATGGTGGTGCTTGACTGAGTGCATGAGAAATAGGGACGTGACAGGGGAACACCTTTAGTTGTAACTATGGAGAGGTGGGAAGGAAGGTGTGTGGGAAGAAGCCGTGTTCCTTTCTTTGTTTTGTTTTCTCTGAGAAATAGAAGGGAAGACACGAAGAGGTGGGTGGAGAGTAGAGGTAAGAGTTGTGAGACTAGCCGAAACCGGTTTGCCTCAGTGGATAGAGCGTCGGCCTGTGGACTCAAGGGTCTCGGGTTCTATTCCGGTCAAGGGCATGTATCTTGGTTGTGGGCACGTCCCTGATAGGGGGTGTGCAAGAGGCTGCTGATCGATGTTTCTCTCTCATCATGTTTCTAACTCTCTATCCCTCTCCCTTCCTCTCTGTGAAAAATCAATAAAATATATATTTAAAAAAAAAAATAGTTGTGAGACTAGCCTGGCCGGCGTGGCTCAGTGGTTGAGCTTCGAACTAGGAGCCAGGAGGTCACAGTTTGATTCCCGGTCAGGGCACACACATGCCTGGGTTGTGGGCTTGATCCCCAGTGTACGGTGTGCAGGAAGCAGTGGATCAATGATTTTTCTCCCATCATTGATGTTTATATCTATCTCTCCCCCTCTCCCTTCCTTTATGAATTCAATAAAAATATATTAAATTAAAAAAAAGAGTTGTGAGACTAAAAGAGGTTTGGGTAGCTGAGGTTGAAGGTGACATTGATGCGTGATGTGTGTTTTTTTTAACTCCTTTCAGTTATGGTCAGTAGTCTAGAGAAAGGAGACATATGACTTGGTCCAGTCCTGAGCACATGGGAATGGCAAGAGAATTGAGGGAGTTATTAGTAGTGATTAAAGTAAACGGGCCTTTGAATCTAGAGAGAGGAAAGGGAATGTAGGAAAGAACTGAATGATAAGGAGAAAGTGGGAATGTCAAGGGAGTGTATATGTCAGGTTGTAGGTGAGAGAATAAAGGAAAAACTGGGTAAGAATAGAAATAATAGCCGAAACCGGTTTGGCTCAGTGGTAGAGCATCGGTCTGCGGACTGAAAGGTCCCAGGTTCGATTCCTGTTAGGGGCATGTACGTTGGTTGCAGGCACATCCCCAGTGGGGGATGTGCAGGAGGCAGCTGGTCGATGTTTCTCTCTTATGGACGTTTCTAGCTCTCTATCTCTCTCCCTTCCTCTCTGTAAAAAATCAATAAAATATATTTTAAAAAAAAATAATAGGCAGTTTTTTTTTAAAACCCTTTATTGACATGTTATTCAATTTATTTAAAATGTACAATTTTATGGTGTGTTTTCTTTAAATACATGAATGGGAATCCTTGTTGTTTTTTTGTGTTCTTTTTTAGTATGTTTTTATTGATTTCAAAGAGGAAGGGAGAGAGAGAAACATCAATGATGAGAGAGAATCATTAATCGGCTGCCTCCTGCACCTCCCCTACTGGGAATTGAGCCTATAACCCGGGCATGTACCCTGACTGGGAATCAAACCGTGACCTCCTGGTTCATGGGTCAACACTCAACCACTTAGCCACACTAATTCTATGTGTTTTTTTGTTTGTTTGTTTGTTTTAAAATATATTTTATTGATTTTTCACAGAGAGGAAGGGAGAGGAATAGAGAGCTAGAAACATCCATGAGAGAGAAACATCAACCAGCTGCCTCTTGCACACCCCCTGTCGGGGATGTGCCCACAACCAAGGTAAATGCCCTTGACTGAATTGAACCCAGGACCCTTGAGTCCGCAGGCCGACGCTCTATCCACTGAGCCAAACTGGTTTCAGCTAATTCTGTTTTTTAATGCATCTACAGATATATGTGGCCATTACCACAGTTTTAGAACATTTTTATCGCCTTAGAAAAAACCCTGTCATTGAGTTATCACCCCCGCCCCTAGTTCCTCCATCTGCATCCCTCCTACCCCTAAGCAACCACAAGTCGACTTTCTGTGTCTAGAGATTTCCGTGTTCTGGCCTTTCATATGAATAGGATCATATAACATGTAGACTGGTGTGACTGGCTTCTTTCACCTAGCTAGTTTTTTAGTAAATTGTAGCATGCAATTCTACAATTTAGTAACTGCATTCTGTTTTCTGATTGGATAATATTTCATTGTATGGATAGGTCACATTTTGTTCACCCATTCATCCATTGATAGACATTTGGGTTATTACTAATTTTTTGTTATGACTAATGCTGCTATAATGCTGCTATTTCACGTTTTTGTGTAGAAATATGTTTCATTTATCTTGGGAATGTACCTATGACTGGGATTGCTGAGTCATTTGGTAACTCTGTTTAATCGTTTTAGGAACAGCCAAACTGTTATCCAAAGCAGCTGCACCAGTTTACATTCCCAAAAGCAATGTATGGGAATTCTAATTTCTCCACATGCTAGACAGCACTTGTATTGTCTTGATTTTTTTTATTCCAGCCATCTTAGTAGATATGACATGGTATCTCATTTCAGTTTGCATTTTCCTGATGACTAATGATGTTGAGCATTTTTTCTTGTACATATCAGCTAATTTGCATACTTTCTTAGAGAAAGTGCTATTCAGATACTCTGTCCTTTTTTTTTTTTTAATTTGTTTTTATTGGTTTCGGAGAGAGTGGAAGGGAGGGGGAGAGAGAGAAAACATTGATGTGAGAGAAACACATTGATTGGTTGACCCCACACGTGCCCTTGCTGGGTTAGGGATCGAACCTTTAACCCAGGTACACGCCCTTGCCCTGGAATCAAACCCGTGACCCTTCATTTTGCAGGCCGGTGCTCTAACCACTGAACACACAGCTGAGGGTTTTGACGTTCAGTATGTTTTTTCTTTTGTTGCTTGTGCTGTTGGTGTCATATCTAAGAAGCCTTTGCTGAATCCATGCCAGACCCAAAGTCATGAAGATTAACCCCATGTTTGTTTCTTTAATTATTATTTATTATTTGTTGTTTCACTTACTTATGCATTCATTGATTGATTCTTGTATGTGCTCTGACTGGGAATTGAACCCGAAACCTTGGTATAGCTGGTTGATACTATGCAGCTGAGCTATCTGGCCAGGGCTTAACCATTATGTTTTCTTCTAAGAGTTTTATCATTTTAGCTCTTATATTTAGGTTTTTGATCCATTTTGAGTTAACTTTTGTGTATGGGGTGAAGTAAGTGGCAGTTTTGATCAAAGTCTAGGGTATTTAAATTTAGGATTTAAAAAGTGAAGCAGGTTTACTTTAAAAACTGCATAACAATTCCAGGTGTTGACAAAATATTCAACCTGTAGAGAATTTGTGAGCGTGTATTGGAGCTAAACTGGTGACATAACACAGGGAGCAAGATCTCAAATGCTCCGGAGAGTAACAGTTTTATTGATTATTTTATGCATTTGAAATTAAGGAGTGAATGTAAGGAAGATTACATGGAGGTGGGGAAAAGCAATGAGGGGTTGGATTACAGGATAGTTAACAAGATTATGTGCTCTTTTGAGGGTGGTTGCTTATTTAAAAGTGTATTAACCTACATGTACAGAAACAATGGACAGGGCTTACTTAAGGCAAAGATACACCTTTTACTGAAGAAGTTATAAGCCTGAGGCGTTACACCCACCATGACCTGTCCAGTTAGGAACTTATGATCAGATCATCCTGTGAGGGTACTTTTTTTTTTTTTTTTAATTGATTTCAGAGAGGAAGGAAGAGGGGAGAGAGAGAAATATCGATGATGAGAGAGAATCATTGATTGGCTGCCTCCTCCACGCCCCCTACTGGGGATTGAGCCTGCAACCTGGGCATGTGCCCTTGATTGAAATCCAACCTGGGAATTTTCAGTCCAAAGACCAACCCTCTATCCACTGAGCTAACCCAGCTAGGGCAAGGGTACTTTCCATTGAAATCCTTGTTTCACTCACAAGTAAGACTGGTCTGTAGTGTGGCCATGGAAATGGTTGGCTGAAGTGGAGGTGAAGACTGCGAACTCATAAAGTATTAAAGTTAATGACAGGGTGGACCTAAGCAGAGGCTCGGAGGTATAGGCAGGTGATAGGCGCCCCCAGGGGAGCAGGAGTTTAAAATGAGGCTGGAGGAGTTGGATCTGGAAGAGACATTGAGAACAAGGAAGAACCCACCTCTTACTCTGAAATGCGTGGAGTGGAGAATGAGCTAACACCACCGCAGTGAGAATTTTGCTAAAGAAGCGATTGAGTTAGAGGAGAGTTAGGCATTAGAGTGTGGAGAGTGCTCACTGAAGTGGATCAGCAGCGGGGGGTTTGTCTCTGGAAAAGGGTTTCATGTTAGCTCTGAGTCAAAGCGGTGTGACCTGGAGAGCACTTTGGCTTCAGTCAGATCAGACTTTGACTAATCTGGCGTCTCTCAGCACTATGCCCTGCCCTGGAAACAAAATTAGTTGTCTCATTTGACATTCTACCAGACTAGAGGAGGTGGGGCATAAAATGAAGTTCCCTTATTAATCATGATACTATTTTAAGATGTTTAAATTCAGAGTGTGTGTGTGTGAGAGAGAGGGAGGGAGAGAGAGAGATATATTAGTTAAGGTCCCATAAAGCACCAAGCAAGATTCTTGCAATTTCTGCTTCAGAACCTGCTTGGAACCTAGGATCAAGGAAAGAACTGAATGATTCCCACACACCTATCCCCATTTCAAGAGGGGGGAAAACTTCTTATGGTTGAGGGAAAATGGAAGAATCAAGGGTATTTGGTTGTTTAAAAGCTATGGATAAAGGCTTAGTGCAGGTAGGATTAAGCAGTCTTCCTCAGTTTTGTGGGTTTCATACCAGTATCACCTTTCTGAAAATCTAATCCCAGATAGTAAAGGCCAAAATGCCCAGATGCTGAACAGAGAAGAATGGGGAAGAGGAATTAATTGGCTTGTCTGGACGGATCAGGCTGATTCAGCTCTCTTTGAAGAAAGGGCAAGAACTTAGAGCATCTTGCCTCATCAGGAAACTGACAGTGAGCCTCTGATCAGATTCCTGAGGCCAGCCTTGGTCTAGTTACAAAAGGGTGTAGTTCAGGCTCAGGTCAGACCCAGAACCCGGGACCCTTCACTTTGCAGGCCGACACTCTATCTACTGAGCAAAACTGGCTAGGGATGCTTTTAATTTTTAAGTTTGTTAGAAAATGTTTTCCTAAAGAATGGAAAACTTTAAAATGCACCTTTCAGCCCTATCCGGTTTGGCTCAGTGAATAGAGCATCAGCCTACAGACTCAAGGTCCCAGGTTTGATTCTGGTCAAGGGCATATACCTTGGTTGTGAGCACAACTCCAATAGGGGTTGTACAGGAGGCAGCTGACTGATGTTTCTCTTTCATCGGTGTTTTTAACTCTCTATCCCTCTCCCTTCCTCTCTGTAAAAAATCAATAAGATACATTTTAATAAATAAAATGCACCTTTCAGCCCTGGTTGGAGTGTTGTCGCATACACCAAAAAAGGTTGTGGGTTCATTCCAGTTACGACACATAGCTAGGTTGCTGGTTTGATCACTGGTCAGTTGGAGCGTGTAAGCAGGCAACCGATCGATGTTTTTCCCCTTCCTTCTGGAATCAATGAAAAACATCCTCTGATGAGGATTTTTTTTTTAAAACCTTTTTTTTTTTTTTTTTTTAAGCACCTTTCAGATCTTTCTCCACAGATGACAGGAAAACTTTTTTCAGGGTGAAGAAGGGGAGTACAGTGAAGAGGAAAACTCCAAAGTGGAGCTGAAATCAGAAGCCAATGATGCTGCTAATTCTTCAGCAAAAGAAGAGAAGGGGGAAGAAAAGCCGGACTCCAAAGGCACTGTGACGGGGGAGCGGCAGAGCGGGGATGGGCAGGTCAGTGCCCAGCAGAGGCCTCCACTTGGGGGCTGGAAGAGGGGCTTTCCGCGTTAGAGGGAGTAAGGAGCCCTTTGTCCCCCAGGAGAGCACAGAGCCTGTGGAGAACAAAGTCTCCAAGCATTTGGATGACGACGAAGATCGGAAGAACCCCGCCTACATCCCCCGGAAAGGGCTTTTCTTTGAGCATGATCTTCGAGGGCAAACTCAGGAGGAGGAAGTCAGGTAACAGCCGCTGTTACTGTAGTATATAGATTTAGTGTTTACTGTATGCTAGGCCCTTTGCTGGAGTGCTTTACCTGCATCCACAACATTTTTAAGGTATTACCTCTTTACAAATGAGGAAGATGAAGCTTAGAATATTTGGTAACTCTCGGTGCGGCAACTAGGATCCACGCCTACCCTCCACTTGCCTTCCCTAATCCGAGGCTGAGGCCTGTGGGATATGGAGCACTTGCATAGGCTGCCGTATAGTAAAGGTATTTCCTAGGTGCTGAGTAGTTTGAAGTGAAACCTTTATTTCTGTTCCTGTTGCATTTGAGCCCAGCAAGCCCTGAGGTACTGCTTCACTCTTGCTTTTGGAAGGCCTGCTTTAAATCTGGAAAGAGGGAAAGACCACAAGCTTCTTCTGATTCCATGCCCAACCCTGTTTGTTTCATGAACATCTATACTTGACAGATTCTGCCAACCTAAGACACTTTTTCCTGGTTTTATCCAGACCCAAGGGGCGTCAGCGGAAGCTGTGGAAGGATGAGGGTCGCTGGGAACATGACAAGTTCCGGGAAGATGAGCAGGCCCCGAAGTCCCGCCAGGAGCTCATTGCTCTTTACGGGTATGACATCCGTTCAGCTCACAATCCTGATGACATCAAACCCCGAAGAATCCGGAAACCCAGGTGAGGAAATTTTGGGGCCTAGATTATTGATATTGTAGAAAGAACTCGGCTTTTTTAAATACCATTCCAGCAAATAATTGAATGGGTGAGGAATATGGGACATCTTCCTGACCTTCAGTGTAAGACTTTTTTATTTCATTTATTCAGGTTTGGGAGTCCTCCACAAAGAGATCCAAATTGGGTTGGTGAGCGACCAAACAAGTCTCATCGCCACCAGGGTCCTGGGGGGACCCTCCCACCAAGGACATTTGTCAATAGGAAAGCTGCAGGGACCGGTCGCATGTCTGCCCCTAGGAACTACTCTCGATCTGGGGGCTTCAAGGAAGGTCGTGCTGGATTCAGGCCTGTGGAGACTGGCGGACAGCATGGTGGCCGGTCTGGTGAGACTGTTAAACATGAGAGTAGTTACCGGTCACGGCGCCTGGAGCAGACTCCTGTGCGGGATCTGTCTCCAGAAGAAGATGCTCAAGTGCTTGGCAGTCCTGAGAAGGAAGAGGTGGCCTCAGAGACACCAGCTCCTGTTTCTGCTCCTGACACTGCACCCCCGCCCCCTGACAGACCTATTGAGAAGAAGTCCTATTCCCGTGTAAGAAGAACCAGAACCAAAGCTGGAGATGCAGTCAAGATTGCAGAGGAGATGCCACCTCTACCTGAAGGGCTAACCCCCACCCCTCAAGTTCCAGAAACTACTCCTCCTTCACCTGCTAAGACTGGGAACTGGGAGGCTCCAGTGGATTCTGCTACAAGTGGACTTGAGCAAGATGTGGCACAATTGAGTATAACAGAGCAGAATTGGAATCCAGGGCAACCTTCATTCCTGCCACCACGCGAACTTCGGGGTAGGTACCTTAGGGTTAGTAACCAGATGATCCCCCACCACCAACCCTCACCACCACCCCTTTACAACGCTGGGTTTAGGACATTGGACTTAATTTCAGGGATGTGGTGTCTGACGAATATCTGTGTTTTCATTAACTGCAAAAAACAGATGTATTCCTATATATATTCATCCATGGACCTCATAGCAGTTTTATCTGTTGCCTACTGTTAACCAATAATGAGTTCCTGGCCTGGGCTGGTGAGCTCAGTAGCTTGGAGTGTTGTCCCATACACCTAAAGGTGGTGGGTTTGATTCCTGGTCAGGGTACATACCTAGGTTGTGGGTTCCATCCCCTGTCAGGGTGCAGATAGGAGGCAACCAATTGATGTTTCTCTCACATTGATGTGCCTCTCTGTCTGTCTGTCTGTCTCTCTTTCTCTTTCCCTCCCTCCCTCCTTTCTCTCCCTTCCTCTCTCCCTCTAAACATCCTGGGTGAGGATGGGGGGCAACGGGGGGGATGAATTCCTAGGTGCAGAATCCTTTACCACTCTGTAGAATAGTGGAAGAAGAAGGCAGTGTTTTTATTATTTGAGCTAAGCTAATGGCTAAAGTTTGAAGGCAGAAAGTTATTCATTTGAATTTGGATGGGAATCTTTTAATCTCTTTGAAAAGAAAGTCTCTCTAGAGCAGTGTTTCTCAACCTTTCTAATGCCGCGACCCTTTAATACAGTTCATGTTGTGATGACTCCCAACCATAAATTGTTTTCTTTGCTACTTCATAACTGTAATTTTGCTACTGTTAATGAATCATAATGTAAATATCTGTGTTTTCTGATGGTCTTAGGTGATCTTACTACCGTGTTTCCCCGAAAATAAGACATCCTCTGAAAATAAGACCTAGCGCATGGAAAGATAAGACATCCCCTGAAAATAAGACCTAGCGCAACTTTGGGAGAAAAAATTAATATAAGACTCTGTCTTATTTTCGGGGAAACAGGATAGCGGTTCTCAACCTGTGGGTCTCAATCCACAGGTTGAGAACTGCTGCTGTAGATAGAGCCTAAGACCATCGGAAAACACAAATATTTACATTATGATCCATTAACAGTAGCAAAATTACAGTTATGAAATAGCAACAAAAATAATTTTATGGCCGAAACTGGTTTGGCTCAGTGGATAGAGCGTTGGCCTGTGGACTGAAAGGTCCCGGGTTCGATTCCAGTCAAGGGCATGTACCTTGGTTGCAGGCACATCCCCAGTAGGGGGCGTGCAGGAGGCTGATTGATGACTCTCTCTCATTGATGTTTCTGGCTATCTCCCTTCCTCTCTGTGAAAAATCAATATGTTTTAAAAAAAATAATAATTTTATGGTTAAGGGTCACCACAACATGAACTGTATTAAAGGGTCGTGGCATTAGAAAAGTTGAGAACTACTGTTCTAGAGGCTACCTAAAAGAACTTTCTGTAATGATAGTGCATGCATATGCTTTTTGAAATTTATTTTTTAATGATTTCAAAGGAAGGGAGAGGGAGAGAGAGAAAGCAACATCAATGATGAAAGAGAATCATTGATTGGCTGCCTTCTGCATACCTCACACTAGGGATTGAGCCTGCAACTTGGGCATGTGCCCTGGCTGGGAATCAAACCATAACCTCCTGGTTCCTGGGCTGACTCTCAATCACTGAGCCATGGCACAATGGTGCTTTTTTTTTTTTTTTTTTTTTTTTTTTTTAATATATATTTTATTGATTTTGTAGAGAGGAAGGGAGAGAGATAGAGAGTTAGAAACATCGATGAGAGAGAGTCATCTATCAGCTGCCTCTTGCACACCCCCTACTGGGGATATGCCCGCAACCAAGGTACATGCCCTTGACCGGAATCGAGCCCGGGACCCCTCAATCCCCAAGCCGACGTTCTATCCATTGAGCCAAACCGGTCCCGGCACAATGGTGCTTTTGAATCCTTAAAATGTGGCCAGGTCTGGGTGACTGAACTTTTCATTTTAAACATTGAAATTTAGCCTCAGGTGGTATTGTATTGGACAGCACAATTCTAGAGACTAGGTGCCATCTACCACCCATTTTGCCCATCCTTTGTCTTCCTCCAACCAGATAGATCAAAGAATCTTTTCCCTAGTTTCTGAAATCAGATTTGAACTCAAAGATTGGAAATCCTCATGTAGCCTGAGAGTTTCGGCATCCTTCTCTGGTGTGCATGGTTTTTGAACAGCAAAAACCAGTGTCATCTCAACTGGATCTGGAGTTGATCTTTGGATCAAGAAGTATACCCTTCCACTGATACCTTATCATCATTTGGGAGAAAAAATCATTGGAAAACAGTCTCTAATATGTAATCTTTTGTTGTTGTTGGTCTGAGTCATTTTCAACCAGAAGGGAATCTCTTCCCAAGCTTCCAAGCCAGACCTGGGTGGCTAGCTTAGGTTACAAAACATGCCTCACTTTCCAGTTGTTGTCCAGAAACCCTGGAGCTGATATATTTTTTTAATGTAATGTGCTTATTGTAATCTCCCAGTGATTCTGTGCAGGGAAGTATTCGGTGGAGAAATTTTGAACTTGTATTTTCTCACTGAAGTAAATTTTTTAAAATGTTAACGGCTTGATTGCTGTATTAAGGTAATGGTCAATGGGGGCAAATATCCAAATGCTGGTATTGACAGGAAGCAGATATAGTTTAAAAGGGATTCCGGTAGATCAGTTGTCGGCAAACTCATTAGTCATCAGAGCCAAATGTCAACAGTACAACGATTGAAATTTCTTTTGAGAGCCGAAAACCGACTTCTGCGCATGGGCCATGAAGTTTCAGTTGCACGTGGTATTTTGTGGAAGAGCCACACTCAAGGGGCCAAAGAGCCGCATGTGACTCGCGAGCCACAGTTTGCAGATCACTGCGGTAGATTATAAGCAGAAAGCCATTTACTTTATTTTCTTGATGGTATGTTTGAGTTGCACGTCTGTCTGCTCTGCAGCAGTGACTTTTTTGGTATGTTACAGGTATGCACAACCACATACACATGGGAGGACCTCCACCTCAGTTTAACCGGCTGGAAGAAATGGTACAGAAGGGGAAAGGGCAGATGGAGGAGGGAGCGGGGAATGCTTTTGAAATCACTTTTCCAATCAATTTCCTATGTTTTGTTTATTTTATTATTTTTTTACATTTTATTATTTTTAAAGTAAATTTTTATTGATTTCAGAGAGGAAGGGAGAAGAGCGAGATAGAAACATCTTTGTTTAGAGAATCCTTGATTAGCTGCCTCCTGCACCCCCACACTGGGGATTGAGCCCACAACCTGGGCATGAGTCCTAACTGGGAATTGACCTGAGACCTGGTTCATAGGTTGATGTTCAACCACTGAGTTCTGCCGTCTGGGCACCTGTGTTTTGTTTAATTTGGGTCTCCAGAAATGTAGAGAGTTTAGGTTCAAGTCTTGATGTTTTTTACTGATTTTTCAATTCATTTTTAAACATATGTCATATACAAAGTCCCACTTAAGGAGGGTGGGGACTTGAATGCTAGTCTTCGGCTCAGGCCTATTTCTTTATTTCAGGGTGTCCAGGGTGGGCGAGCCAAACGCTATTCATCTCAGCGGCAGAGACCTGTGCCGGAGCCCCCTGCCCCTCCCGTGCATATCAGTATCATGGAGGGACATTACTATGATCCACGTGAGCTTTTTTTCTTAAGATCGGGGTACCTTTTTTGGCTTGGTGAAGCAAACTAAATAGACCAACCTCCTGCCTTCTGCCTTTCTTTCTGACCTGTCACAGTGGTTGTCATTATCTGTTGGTGTTTTCTTCACATGGAAAATTGAGAACATCTCTTAAAGGGTTTGGGAGATGGGCAGACTTGCCCATGTGATAGGAAGAATGAGAGTTTATAAGAATCCCAATGTGATATTTTACAGTGCAATTCCAGGGACCAATCTATACCCATGGAGACAGCCCTGCCCCACTGCCTCCTCAGGGCATGATTGTGCAGCCAGAAATGCACCTTCCCCACCCAGGTAAGCATTGCACCTAGCCTGTGTGCTTCCTGTACATGAGCATGTGTGTTGGGGGTTTTACCCCATCCTTCTGAGCTCAGTGCTGCTTGCCTCTGAGGCTGGCCACTCTGCCTACTTGGGCAACAAAGCTCATAGGTATAGGTCCATCCTAAGGACTTCTATCCCGAGCCTGACTATGCTGGAACTGGTCCTTTTCTGTTTTAATTTATTTTCCTCTCCTTGTTCAGGTTTACATCCCCATCAGACACCAGCGCCTCTGCCCAATCCGGGCCTCTATCCTACACCAGTGTCCATGTCTCCAGGACAGCCTCCGCCTCAGCAGTTGCTTGCTCCTACTTACTTTTCTGCCCCAGGCGTCATGAACTTTGGTAATCCCAGCTACCCTTATGCTCCAGGAGCGCTGCCTCCCCCACCACCTCCTCATCTATATCCTAATACACAGGTGAGATGGCTAATGAGCAGATTTTTATAGGTACACATCCTTTAAATCAGACAGGATTGTGGTATGGGGAAAATGCTCAAGAAATTGGAGAGAATAGTTCAATGCCACTGATTTACATATGATTCCCGGATGCCTCTTAGTGGTCAGCACCTGGAAATGCAGCTTATGTAATGCCCATCATCTGTTTACTGTTCTCTTCCATTTTTTAATTTAATTTATTTTAAAAAATTTTAATGACTTCAGAGAACAAGGGAGAGGGAGAGAGAGAAACATCAATAATGAGAATCATGCCAAAACCAGTTTGGCTCAGTGGATAGAGCGTCGGCCTGCGGACTGAAAGGTCCCGGGTTCGATTCCGGTCAAGGGCACGTACCTTGGTTGCAGGCACATCCCCAGTGGGGGGATGCAAGAGGCAGTTGGTCGATGTTTCTCTCTTGACGTTTCTAGCTCTCTATCCCTCTCAATTCCTCTCTGTGTAAAATCAATAAAATATATTTTTTAAAAATAATGATAATGAGAATCACTGATTGGCTGCCTCCTTCCTGTATGCCTCCTACTGGGGATCAAGCCCACAACCTGGGCATGTGTTCTTAACCAGAATCAAACCTGGAATCCTCATTCCTCAGACCAACCCTCTATTCACTTGGCCAAACCAGCTAGGGTTCTTCCATTTCTTTAGTGGTGTTTCATTTAAGTGTTTTAGTATGTCTTAGGTGGCCATTTATTTAACAGCATAAAGAAAGTATTCTATTTGCCAGCCCTCTCTCTCCCTGTGCTGCTTAATTCTCCATAAGTTGAAACCATCTGGTATCTAATATCACCACTGAGCTCAGCCTCTTCCATTTGTCAACTGATGGTAGGAATTAGAGAAAGCTGGGCAGTACTTTGAAGAAATAGGAACCGGAGCATAATTAGGCATAATAAGACAGAAATGAATATTCATTTTATTTTTAAGGGGTGCAGCTTAGAGATTTAAAAAATTATAAATTCTGTAATCCTTTTGTTTTTGCGCCTGAATAATGTTTGGTGTTTTCTGTTCATCGCAGTTTGGATTAATTCCTAACTTTCTCTTCTGGCTTGTGGGGTGTCCAGGCCCCATCACAGGTATATGGAGGAGTGACTTACTATAACCCCGCCCAGCAGCAGGTGCAGCCGAAGCCCTCCCCACCCAGGAGGACTCCCCAGCCAGTCACCATCAAGCCCCCGCCTGAGGTATGAGAGCTGCTTCCCAGGCTTTAGGGCACATCCTACATCGCTGGGCTTTCCTTCTCTCCAGAAGATTTCCCTTTTGTTCTGGGTGTGTTTTTATTAAAACAGTTGTCTTTTTATTATTATTATTATTATTATTATTATTATTATGGAATTATATGTGAACATATCTTACCATTGCCCCCCCTTTTTTTTCTTTTCTTGTCTTTTTTTAATGACCTGATAACAGATTCTAACTTTATTATTTCAGGTTGTAAGCAGGGGTTCCAGTTAATATGAATTTCTGAATATTTTAAATCTAACATGATATAAAAGTAAGTGCACAACTTACTGTGACTCTCATAAAATATTCTTAAAACTAACGCTCATGCTTACTTGTTTAACAGTCGCCTAATTAATTAAGTTGTAACATGGGTTATCATGGAAGGAAGCTTAAAGAAATCCCAAAATTCACTTCTTTGTTTTGAGCTTGCATTGAACAGAGTTGAAATAGAAAACACTATTAACGTGGCAGAATTTCATTTGGGAAGCTGCAAGGAAAAAACAGGAGGGTATTTTCTATTAAGGAAATTAAATTTGAGGTGTTATCTCCGCCATGAAAAAAAAAAAAAGAATAAAATCTTACCACTTGCGACAGTGTGGATGGACCTACAGGGTATTATGCTAAGTGAAATAAGTCACAAAGAGAAAAACAAATACTATATGATTTCACTTTTACATGGAAACTTAAGAACAAAATGAACGAACAAACCAAGTTGAAACGGACGCATAGACAACAGAGAACAGACTGATGGTTACCAGAGGAGAGGGGTACAAATTGGCAGTTATAAAGTAGTCATGGGGAATGTAAAGTATAGCATAGGGAATATAGTCACTAATATTGTAATAACTATGTGTGGTACCAGGTGGGTACTGGAAATATCGGGGGAAACACTGTATCAAGTATATGATTGTTTAACCGCTATGCTGAACATCTGAAACTAATACAAAATAATATTGAATGTAAGGCCTAATTGAAAAATAAAAAAGTATATATTAAAAAGCAAATTTGAGATGTTACAGTTAGAGCTAATTCTAAAGGTCATGGAGGAAAAAGACTATAAGGGTTTTGTTTGGGGGGGAGGGGGATATTACTTCAAAACACATTTGGAATGTGGCTTTTTGAAAGCAACCTGTAAATACCCAGAAGGCCCACTAACACCTTGGTGGTTCTTCCCTTTTCCCCACTCCTGTCAGAACAGCAGAGGTGAGAACCCAGGAAAGAAGAGAAATACAGCTGGCTGCCTACCACCAGGAGGGCTTCAGAGATAAAGGGTGGCTCCTACCACAGCAGCTGAATGAGGAGGACCCTGGCTTCCTCTGAGGACAGGCTCTGTTAGAGACAGGGAGAAACAAGGGGACTTCCGACTGTCTCCACTCTGCTGGAGTTAGTGCGCTCAGAGGAGCAGAGGTCAGACAGCCCACACCTAGTCTCCGTCTAGAAACCCAGGTTTCTGGCTCTTCTTCACTTTGTCCTAGGAAATTCAAATGTCTTCTGCTCCCAGGGAAGCTCCTTCCTGTTTGTTTTGTCTTTTTATCTCCCTCCCCCTCTCGCTCTCTCGCTTTCCCTCTTTCTCTGCCTTTAATTGAGACAAGTTCATTTTCCCAGTTTGCTGGCTCCTCTGGTTCCCTTTTGGTTCTTCCCTACAAGGCAGATAATTGAGAATTGCCAGCTAGTCTTTTCCCACCAAATCTACCGCGATCTGGCCTTTCACTTCTGGTTGGACTTCGTTATATACTTGGAGTCTCCTAACTTCTCTGACTCAAAGTGTATGGTAGGAGCCCTTGTTTCGGTTTTTAGGAGCCTGAGTCTCCATCAGTAGTCTCCGGTAGTCTTCAGGCCAGTACTGAGGATAGAGTCTACAGTGGGGAGAGATGGCAAATCAGATGCTTCTGTGAGAAAGGGAGGGTGGAGTGAGCGCCTTTGCCCGTTAGGGATGTGTGTTCACAGTCCTCAGGGCTCAGTCTTTGAGGTAAGTGGTATAAGGACCTGCTGCTTTCCATCCCTCTTAACACACTCCTTTTCCAATTGCTGTGGACCAATACATTTCTCTAGAGCAGTGGTTCTCAGCCTTCCTAATGCCTCAACCCTTTAATACAGTTGCTCATGTTGTGGTGACTCCCAACCATAAAATTGTTTTCGTTGCTATTTCATAATTGTAATTTTGCTACTGTTATGAATCGTAATGTAAATACCTGTGTTCTGATGGTCTTAGGCGACCCCTATGAAAGGGTCATTTGACCCCCAAAAGAGTTACAACAAGTTGAGAACTGCTGCTCTAGAGGCAAATACTATCCAGCAAGCAATCTGTCTGTCCTGTCCTTTATACTCCAAGTGTTTTACGTGTTACTACCTTATTTTCCTCGAGTTCTGTCCTTGCAAGCAGAAGGTACTGCACCTGGGCCTAAGGCCTAAGGAGGCCAGTCACTTCTGCAGCAAGGGCTCCTTTCCTCCCTGTCCACGGCACTGAACCACCTTCCGCTGCCTCTGCGGAAGCGATTCCTATTGCAGCACTGTGTCTGCCAAGGGTTCCTTGGCCTCTCTCTGTCCTTCTGTGGAACTTGAGGGAGAAGGTGGCAGCTGTGTCTCTCCCCAAGTAGTCACTGTTTGTATTCCTTCTCTTAAGCAGCTGGCCTGCCCACTCTTGAGTCCATAGTGTGTGGGAGGGAGGAGAGGCACTCGAGCTATAACCCTTAAGGGAGACAAATCGAAGAGGTTCTTCCAGGGGTAGCTGTTGGTTGTGCCTTTTGGTAGGCTGTTCCCTTTGCCTTAAACCTGAAGATGTCTCCTCAAGCCCGTGGGCAGCATGCCCGGATTGCCAGACCTTAAGACACTGTGACAGTTGTCTATGTGGGTCCGCTGTGTTTCGTTGCAAGAATTTCTTGTTGTTGTTACTGTTTTAAAGAGTACACATTTGTGATCAGTATTGTGACTTGAAGATAATAAAATTTAGACTGAAAACTTGGCTTTTTTTGCATTCATTTTGATTTGAGAGGGAGGGAAAGATGACTTCTTAATTCCCCAGTCAGTCACAACTTGAGCCGGCTCAAACTTGTGAAATGGAAGCCCACTCAGGTGAGGACCCCCTGTGAAGGCACAAGTGTGTCTACTCCCCATCAGTTATCTTTCCAAACCACATTGCCACATGGACTCCAGGATACCCTGCAGTCCCTTAGTTTGGAAGTGTCAGGGACAAAAATTAGTGAGATGCTGCGTACCTATGTGGACATCATATCTCTTAGGCTTGCCTTTGTGTTTGGCAAGTAAGTTTCCCAGGATAATGTGCCAAATGGCAGTACAGCTGTACTAAGTCCTAGAAGAGCTGAGGTTCCGCTAGCTTTCTTCCTGAAAAGTAAAGACTCCAGCTGACACTGAAGTATCAGAGACCACCGTCTACGAAAGAGGTTCCCGTTAATCTTTGCACAGGCAGCGTGGAGGGGCAATTGAAAGACCTCTAGCTGTGGCTCATGCTGCCAGTTACCTTTGCCACTTGGCCTGTGATGAACACGGCAATTCCTATCTTTGAGTTGACTGTTTCCTCCAGATCCTGGGTGGGGTGGAAGTTTACTACAGAAGCTATCCACAATGTGGGGGAGCAATTGAATTTAATACGGAGCTGGCAGGATCTGTTCTTGAGTCGCACAAATCCTTGTGCACTGGGGGCAAGGACATCATGGCACAACTTAATGACAGTTGGAACTCCCCATCCACCATGACTTTCCTCACCTCTGTCCCCATTCCTCTTCAAATCATATCAGTTTGCTTCCCTTCTTGCCCATAGGGTGATGGGTATTTCTGGGCCTGATGTGGGGTCGTGTAAATAATGCCAGGCAGCCTTGGGGGTGGTTACTGGCAGGAGGAATGAGCGGTTTAAGATACTTCCCCCTCACCCTTGCCTCTTGCTTCTTCAAATCCCATTGCTCTCTGTTGCCCTGGTAACCAGCTCAGTGAGAAGAAACTCAAGCTCAGCAAAACCCCCAGGTTCTCTGTCCTTCCAGCCTGCCTCTCCGTGGCGAGAAAGGAGTGTAAGGGCAGACAGAATGGGCCTTAGGTAGCCTTGCTCATCCCCTTCTGGAAGTCCATGGGCTTTTTGCCTGCATCTCCTCACAGTTAATTATACTACCCTCTTCTCCTCATTTTCTTCCGTGATAGACCATAGGTGCCCTCCACCCCTGGGGGTCAGCACACACGTCTGCTATCGTGTGGGCGAAAGATAAAGAATCCCAGTCAGTATCTGCAGCCCACTTGGGTTGGGGTGTCCCTCTGGGGCAGTAATTTTCAATCCTGCCTATTTTAATTACTTGGGGGTCTTTTTAAAAATACCACAGTATTTTTAAACCGTGACCTCCTAGTTCATAGGTTGATGCTCAACCACATTGTGGCTCAGTGGTTGAGCATCAACCTATGAACTAGGAGGTCACGGTTGCTTCCTGGTCAGGAATTTCGGTTGCGGGCTCCATCCCCAGTGGGGTGTGCAGGAAGCAGCCGATCAATGATTCTCGTCCTTGATGTTTCTCTCATCCTCTCCCTTCCTGTTTGAAATCAATAAAAATACATTTTTAAAAAATACCACAAATCCTGGCTCCCTCTCAGTATTTTTTTAAAATATATTTTTATTGATTTCAGAGAGGGAGAGAGATAAAAACATCAATAATGAGAATCGTCTATTGGCTGCTGCCTGCTGACCCCTTAGTGGGGATCGAGCCTGCAACCAGGGCTTATGTCCTTGACCAGAATCGAACCCAGGACCCTTCAGTCCGCAGGACAACACTCTTATCCACTGAGCCAAATCAGCCAGGGCTCACAGTATTTTTTAAAAGCTCCCCTGGATTCCAGTGTGCAGTGGGGTAAGTACCACTGCTGTTCAAGGAGAACCATGGCTGCTTTCCTCCCTGATTTAAGTCTTGAACTTACTCTCTGCCTGATGTCATTGAGCAGTCGGAGGGATCCTGGGGTCCTGCTCCCAAAGCTTCCAGTTTCTAGAATTCTTTCTGCTCCTTTTATTTCTAGCCCCCACACACTCCACACTTGCCAGTTCTTCCCCCTTCCTAACTGACAATCCCAAATCCTGCCCAGAGAGGAGGTTACCAAGGCAACCAGCTTAATCTGGTAACGGTGGCATGTGCTGGAGTGGAACCCTCCCCTTTTCTTATTTGGTTCATAAAATGCCTGGAGAGCTCCGAGCCATTCCAACCAGTTGCCCCTCTTAACCCCAGGGGTATTGGGGTATCTAGTAAAGGGAGCCCAGGAAGCTAATACTTGGATCTCTATTTCAGCTTCTTAGCCAAAACTGCGCTCTCTCCTACTTCCTGTTCCCTTTCTAAATCCACAAACATATGGGTAAGCAAGCTCATTTCTGTGAACACATGCTCTATCATACATAGGACCAGACATGCGCACACCCCAATATGCCAGTAGTGCACACCCTGTCCAATTCTACCACCACTCCCAGCCTTTGGCATTCCTGTCCCTGCCTGGTTGGTACACAGTAAGTGGGTGCGGCATTGTCCAAGGCACCTCAACCCATCTGAGACCTGGTGCCACTCCCCAACCTCGTTACCTTAATCTCAATGTGCTTACACTGAGTGCGTCTCTCTGCCCACCTCCTCCTCAGGAACAGAATGCTCCTGGCACAGGCCTCAGGAGTAAGGATTATTTGGAGTGCAAGTTTGGCACCACTTGCCCCACTCCATGGTTGTGTCAACTCTGGGGAGCTCTTACGTGATGTCACATGGCAGCACAGGAGCTGGGCACCCATCTCCACAGCCCTGCTGCTTTCTGCTGCCAGCTGGGCTTAGGTGCCCTTGTGCTCCTGGTCTCCTCCCCCTGCCTACTGCCTTTCCTCACCCCAACTAGACCTGCCACAACCTGCTGCTCCCCACCTGGCTCCCGCCTGCCTGCCAGTACCTGCCTCTCGCAGGCCAGGCCCTCACCATCTACTGAGCCTTGCCAGAAAGGTTAGGTGAGTGCCGCCACCAGGGCCAGTGCCAATCCACCCAGGGCCTTCCCAGCCCTTCTCGCAAGAAGGGAGATAAAGACCACATATTCCTGTAGGTGTGTTGGCAGCGAAAACTATCTGGGTTGAGAGTGAGGGATACCCAATCAGCAATCTTTGTAGGTCTCACCTGAGTCCAGGTAGGTGAGTCAAGGCATGCAGGCCACACACCTGCCCTGATTCTTTGAAATGGCACCGGGTTCCTCTGTAAGGCGGGGAGCCAGGAATCTCTCTCCACGGGTGTGTCCCTCCTCCTTCGCCCTTCATTTCTGCGTCGCCTTCTCTGAACTCTCCACCCAATCCCATTCAGCTCCTTACAATCCCAGGTGGCCCTCCCCCTACCCCCTACCCTCTACCCCCAGCCCCCAGGACCAGCCCCAACGCCCAAGTTCAAGCCTCGCGCGGCCCGGGGGGCGGGCCCAGGAGGGGAAGGGGCGGGGCGTGGGCGGGGCCTGGCGGAGGGGGCGCGGTCTCGGCGCTGCCACCTTCCCCGCGGCCAGGAGCGCCGCCGCGTCCTCAGCCCCGCGCTCCGCCCGCCGCCTCTGCCGCCGCAGCCCGGCCCGCGAGCGCAGCGCCGGGGCCCCGGCCCCGCATCCTCCCCTCCCTCCGGGCCGCGGGCCGGCCGCAGCCGGCATGGGAGGCCACTGACGGCGGGCACCCCTTCCCCCGGGCACCTCCCCGGGCCACCGGCCACTGGACTCCGGCCGGCGAGCCGCGGGCACCTCTGGCCCCGGTCCGGCGCCCGCACGGCCCTCGGCTCTGCCCCTCCGGCGCTGAGCACCGCGCCCCCGCCCCCCCGCCCGCGCCCGGGACACCTGGGTCCCCCGGCGGCCCGCGGACAGGGGCGGGTGGGGGGGCATGAAGCCGCTGGAGAAATTTCTCAAGAAGCAGACGTCGCAGCTGGCGGGGCGCACGGTGGCGGGGGGTCCCGGCGGAGGCCCGGGGAGCTGCGGCGGGCCCGGCGGGGGCGGCGGGCCGGCCGGGGGCGGCGGGCCGGCCGGAGCCCCGCGGCCGCTGCAGCGGCGGCAGAGCGTGTCCCGCCTGCTGCTCCCCGCTTTCCTGCGGGAGCCCCCCGCGGAGCCGGGGCTGGAGCCGCCCGCCGAGGAGGAGGGCGGGGAGCCGGCGGGGGTCGCGGAGGAGCTCGGCGGCGGCGGGGGGCCCTGCTGGCTGCAGCTAGAGGAGGTGCCGGGGCCCGGGCCGCTGCGGTCCCCGTCCTCCTACTCCTCCGACGAGCTGTCCCCGGGCGAGCCCCTGACGTCCCCGCCATGGGCCCCCCTGGGCGCCCCCGAGCGGCCGGAGCATCTTCTGAACCGCGTTCTGCAGCGGCTGGCCGGAGGGGCCACCAGGGACAGCGCCGCCTCAGGTAAGGGGTGCCCACCCCGGAGTGGGGGGCTGCCACCTGGCCCCCCGCCCTTGCCCTTGCAGCATGGGGGGCGGGCGCTCCGCTGGAGCCCGGCTGCGGGGCTGAGGGGTCGGCCCCAGTGGGGTAGGGGCTCCTCGGAGGAACAGAGTGGCAGGGCCCCCTTGCTCCCTGTGGCAGCCTCACCCGCGGCTGGAAAAGCAGCTGAACCTCTGTCTTCCCTTCAGCCGCCCTCCCTCTCCCCTGGACATGGTAGCCACAGACTCCTGGGCCTCTGTGTCGATTCCCTCCTCCTGGGGCCCAACATGAGGGCCTGACACACTAAGATGGAAGCTGCCCAGAGCAGCCGAGCTCCCCTCCCCCCGCCGAGGTGCCCCAGCCTGAAAGACCTTCCGGGGGTCCCCCCATTGGGTTTGGAAGCCCAGAGCAGAGGGCTGGCCCAGTCGGTGGGGCAGTGCCAGGCAGGCAGGCACGGGGCCTGAGCCGGGTCTGGGGCTCCGGCAAAGGGATGCATTGTCCTTAGCCGCCTGGGAGTGGAGGAGGGTGTCCCAGTGGGGGCTGACTCAGAGGTGTTGTTGGGGGAGAGGTGACGGGGCGGACATCAGGGCCCTGTGGCGACCAGGGGGGTCTGGGCCTTCCCAGCCCCCACCCTTCCCCTGGCAGGCCTCGGCACACCGCCTCTTTCAAAAAATAATAGCCACACCCTGAGAGGCTTATTCCCCAAATGATGATGCTATTGCACCACTCCCCGCCGGCACCCTACCGAGGGGACTTGGAGGAAACTGAGGCCCCACACGGCCAGGTGGTGGCTGAGGTCAAAGACCGGTGGGTCTGCAGGCCCAGCCCTGGGCATCGCAGTGAGCCCAGCAGGGGCTGGGGCTGGGGGACCCTGGTTGAGACTCTCAAGATGAGGGTTTCCCACCGTGCTCTCCGACCTCTGCAGGCAGCCCCGCCTGGGTGTGTGGGAGAGGGCTCCGGCCCCTAGATCCTCCTCAAGACCCGGGCCCTCTCCTTTGCCTCAGACGGTAGCTGCCCCGGGGAGCTGACACCTTTTGGATTTAATTAGAAAAAAATATCAAACACATACAGCTCTTCTAACCATAACTTCCCGCCTACGCTACACACCCTGTGTCTCTCTGACACATTCCCCCGGGAGGCTGTGCCTTGGACCCGAGCCCGCCTCGGAGGAGCCAGACGCCAAACGGTGGCCCCCACAGCGGCGTCTCCCCCATTCTGCCCCGTTCGCCAGCGGGAGAGAGAGAACAGGAAGGGCGTGAGGCATCGCTGGTCCTGGTCCCTCATCCCTGGAGCTGGACATCGGAGTCGGGGGGAGCTGTGGACTCTCTTTAAGAACACAGCGGGGTAGCTGGGCAGAGAGGTGGAGGGAGAAACTGTTTTTCCGGGGCCTGGGTGGGTGCCACAGACTCTGCCCAGTCTTTCCTGGAGAAGGAAGGACTCCGGAGCTGACTGTCACCTGCATTATCCGGCCTGGCAGGCTCAAGTCCCCGAGTAACTGGTTTGGGAAACAACAACCCCAAACCAGTCCCAGGATGAAGGAGAATCAGTTCAGCCTGCCACTCCGATCTCCTCCAGCACGCCCCAGGTTCTTACTGCCTTGGTTCCCTCCCAGGGGTGTGGGAGGAGAGGAGTGACAGACGGCACCCCAAACTAGCCAGTCTCTCCAAAGCCTAAGCAGCCCCATTCGGCCACTGGTTCTACCCAGACAGTGTGCCTCGGGCGAATTGAGAAAAGATCAGAGATTCGGGAGTGTGGGCTCTTAGCCCTGCTCCAGGCAAGTCCCTCCCAGCCCCGGGCCTCAGTTTCTTCTCATTTGTGAAGTGAGAGAGTCAAAGTCAAGGATCTCGTGTTGGTGCTCCTCCTCCACCTTCCTGGCTAGAATTGGAGGCCAAGGATGGGGAGCCAAGGGCCCACAGAAGCCTTGGCTTTGTCTCGAGGCGGTACCTGGGGACCTGGCCCTAACCTGTCCAGGTAAGGACACCTGGCTCCCTCCCTGCGCCCAGCCTGTTTGTGTGTGCCAGGCTGCCCTGCCCCACCCCAGGGCTGGATGCAAGTCAGGGCGACCTTGTACCTGGCTGACTGGCTGAGCCAGGCCCAGCTGGGGGCGTGGAGGGGAAAGAAGTGCTGGGAGGAGCCGTTCCCCTCCACCTTTCCATCATTAACCCAGCGATCTCTGAGCATCCAGAGCACACAGGGGTTTTCTCTTTAAAGGCCTTAGGATCAAAGAAATAGCAGTTGCTCCATCTCCCTTTTAATCGGGCTGGTTCCCACCTGCCTCCTCGTTGGAACTCAGAGCTGTTCGGCAGGGAGTGGGGAGGAGAGGAGGGACACACACAAACACACGCCCTGCTGCCCCTGACCGCTGTGTTTGGAAGTGGTCTAAAGAACTCTTTTCAGGGGGCCAATCTCAAGCTTGGTGTCTTATCTGACCAGCTCCCCGGACACACGGAAGAGAAGTGGGCGTGGCCACCAAAGGGTGCCCCGTCCTTCCTTCCAGCTGCCTTCCCAGCTGCCCACCGCACCCCTGCAGCGGCTGCCCAGAACCTTCACCCGTGCATGCGTGCGTGCGTGTGTGCGTGTGTGTAGAGCATGATGGGGCAGGTGGCTGGGGCTCCAGTCTGGCTAAGAAGAACTCGCCCTTGAAGGCCAGAGAGTGGGGTGGGGAGTGTCCGGCTGGACCCTGGAAATTCCCTTCTGACATCAGCAGTGCCCATTGATCTCCACAGATATCCTGCTGGATGACATCGTCCTCACCCATTCTCTCTTCCTCCCCACGGAGAAATTTCTGCAGGAGCTGCACGAGTAATATCCTTCTGGGGAAGGGACGATCAGGAGGGAGCCACTCCCCCCGGCCCATTTGTGGTGTCAGCTCCTAGGCTGTCCCTTACAAAGCGTTCAGCCCTCGTTTCTCTCTCCGCCAGCTGTGTGACCTTGAGCACCTCCCCGGGCCTCAGTTTCTTCTTCTATAAAATGGGGGTAAGGAGCATCTGTCCTGCCTGCCTGCCGGGCTGCTGTGGAGCTAGGTCTGACCACCGAAGTGGGAGTGCTTTGGAGATGGCAAAGCCCTGAGTGTGGAAGGTGTTATTATTCTATTAAGAGCGCCTCTCTCCTCGCTGATTGGTTGCTCTAAACATCTGGTTGCCCAGCAAGTTATTACAGGGTCCGATGTAAACAGCAGGCCTGGCTGTGCTTCCGTGGGGTCTGCTAGGGACGGGCCACTGGCTGGGCTCCTCACAGGGTCTCGTGTGAGCACAGGGCTTGTCGCTGAGTTATTTTAGGACCTAATTGCAAATGTCAGGCCGCTGAGGAGAATATCACAGGCTCTCTTCGAAACACCCGGCCTGCCTGACAGGTGTGGTCATGTTTGTGGCGAGCACCGTGACCTTTCTGAGCCTGCTGAGGGCTGGTGGAGGTGGGGTTGGTCCAGACAGGGTATCCTCAGGTGAAATTCAGAGGTGGGGGTGGCCAAGTGGGTGCCATTCCTATCTACTCTGGGCTGGGGCATGAGGGACCCCTGGATCTCCTTTCTCCCTGGCCCCAAAACCTAGAGAATATTTGGGGTGGTTTAGCCTCCCATTTCCCTTCTCACTCTCCTCAGGTCCGCCTGCCCCGGGTTTTTCCTTAACGTAGGGGTCAGCTTTGTCTCGGCAGGAGGCAGGGAGGGCCCCGAGGGGCTGGGCCAGAAGCAGGCCTGTCTCGCCATGCTCCTCCACTTCCTGGACACCTACCAGGGGCTGCTGCAGGAGGAGGAGGGCGCCGGCCGCATCATCAAGGTGGGCCCGGGAGGAAGAGGCGGGTGAGCGGGCAGTCAGCTCTGGAAGGGGGCCCCTTCGAAGGAGCCATCCTCGTCAGGAGGGGAGCCTGAAGGAAATGACGCCAGGGCGCTTACGCTTCCATGGTTCCCCTGTGCTCAAAGGCCCGGAGACCTGACAGAGCGTGACGCCCTCCCTTCTCCCCCTCCCCAGGATCTGTACCTGCTCATCATGAAGGATGAGTCCCTTTACCAGGACCTCCGCGAGGACACGCTGAGGCTGCACCAGCTGGTGGAGACAGCAGAGCTAAAGTGAGGGGAATGGGCTAGGAAAGGGGACAGGAGAGAAACCCCCATGTCCCTCTCTCCCAGGGGCTGCCTCTGGCCTTCTGGCTCCAATATGGTCTTCTTTCAGTCCCTTCCTCTTACCGGAGAGGAGCACAAAGATGGTCTCTAGTCACTGTTTCCCTCTCACCTGGGGATATGTTCTTATTGACTTCACATAGAGAGGAAGGGAGAAGGAGGGAGGGAGAGACACACACATGAAACAGCCATGTGAGAGAGAAACATCCATGGACTGCCTCTTGCATGCACCTGACTGGGGATGGAACCTGAAACCTGGATATGTGCCCTAACTGGGAATCGAACCTGCAACCTTTGGGTATATGGGATGACACTCCAACCAACTGAATCACACTCAGCAGGACTCCAGTCATATTTTCCCCCTCATTCCAATGGCATACTAGTGAATATTTAACAACCAGTACTTGGGGCGGGGGGACCTCATCCTGATTTTCATAGTATAAATTCTCTCATCATTCAAGCCATCAACATGACATTACTGACTGTGAAGCTGGGAAGAGATATAGAGGCCATTGTATGGTATTCTTACCATACAAATACCACCAATGACAATAACCAGAAGAGCATAGATAATAGTGAAACAATTAGGAGACTACCTTTTTTTTTGGATAATAATTGATAGAAACATACACACACTGGAATTTAAAAAAAATTTTTTTGAAAGAGAAACATCGATTTATTGTTCTACTTATTTATGCATTCATTTGTTGCTTCTTATATGTGCCCTGACTGGGGATCAAACCTGCAACCTTGGCGTATTGGGACAATGCTCAGTCTCACCAATTGAGCTACCCAACCAGGGTTTACATTCTGTATAGCTTTGTTTTAAAATCAGTGAGCAAGATTTAGCACTCTGCTTTCAGAGGCAATGTGAACTGGCTTTAGGACACCACTGCATCCATCCATCCGTTCACCCATCCGTCTGTCCATCTATCCATCCATCCCTTCGGCCCTTTCTGTTTCTCTCCCCTTGATCCCCACCACCACAACCCTTATCTAGGCCTCATTACCTCTCACAGCCTGCAATCCAGGGCTTCAGTTTATGGTCTGTTTTCAAAAAATATATTTTTATTGATTTCAGAGCTTAAGGGAGAGGGATAGAAAAATAAAAACATCCATGATGATAGAGAACCATGGATTGGCTTCCTCCTGCATGCCCCACCATGGGGATCAAGCCTGCAATCTGGGCATGTGCCCTGACCAGCAATCAAACTGTGACCTCCCTCCTGGTTTACAGCTGGACGCTCAACCACTGAGCTAATGTCGGCCGGGCTTCAGGTTATGGTCTGTGTCTGTCTCTCCCTTCTTATAGTGATGAGGGTGGAGGAGAGAGAGAGATCTTTCCAACTTGACATCATCTTCCCCTTCTAAAAACATCATGGCTCTCTGTTGCCTATAAGACAAGAAAAGTTGCAATATCCCAGCACAGAATTCAACACCCTCTCCTTCCTGTCTCCTGCTAACCCTTCTCATCTCAACTCCTTCAGAGCCCTACGCCCACCACACTCCTATCCATCCCGTCCCCTAGACTTCTGTGCTTTCCCAACTTCCTGCTGTCATTTAGACGGAAAGTTCCAGAAGGACCTCCTCCCACCCCCTTCTCTTCCTGTTGTCCTTCAAGGGCCAGGCCAAATGCCATCTTCTCAATGAAAGTTCCCTAGACCTTCTCTCTTAGGAATAGCTTTGTCTCTCCCTCATACCAACATAACTCTCCGTGCATATTTGTTATGTCACCTAGCCCCGGCCTCTGTGTTAGAAGTAGCTGTATGCACATCTGTTTCCCCCCAGAGTGTGAAGTTCTTGTTGGCAAAATTCAGCAAACAGCTGGTCACCTACACCTACCATGTGCCAAAGCAATGTTCTAGGCCTGGGCGGTGGGAAACAAAACCAGTAAGAAGGAATCCCAGCTCTCCAAAGCTCTCAGTCTTGTAGAGGAGATAAGATGCAAACATAAACAAATGCTAGCCCATTGTCCTATAGCAGCAAAAAAAAAAAAAAAAAAAAAAAAAAGCAGCACTAAAATGACCTTCCCTGGGGGGTGGGGTGGCTCAGACAAGAATTCAGGGAAGAGGTGGCATTTGATGTGGGTCACTGGAGAGTGGTCCCCTGCTGGCCATTGTCCTCACTTCTGACAAACTCTCACCACGCTCTGAACCCGATGCCAGTGCATCCTTGACCCGGTTCTGATGTCCCTGTTTGATGTTGCCTGCCTGGTGCTCCGTATGCCTGGCAGGGCTTCCTGATGCCCAGCTGTATCCATGCCAGGATCCCGGAGGAGAGCCAGCCGCCCAACAAGCAGGTGAAGCCACTCTTCCGCCACTTCCGCCGGATAGACTCCTGTCTGCAGACCCGAGTGGCCTTCCGGGGCTCTGACGAGAGTGAGTGAGGGCATCAGGAGGGGCGGGGCTTCCTGAGTGGCTTAGGGGGCCCACTTGGGGTCTTGGGTCTCGGTCGCCCTCCATGGAGCCTCCCCTGTGTAGCAGAACCTGTCCCTGTTACAGCATCCTTTTCAGAGGCCAGCCGATTTAAGGTTAGGGCTGGGATGGCGTGGGGGGCACCAGTGTCCTGGAGGGGACAATGCCCTCTGAATGCTGTCGTTCTGCCCTCTGATGAGAGCCACCTTCCTGTCTCTGCCCAGTCTTCTGCCGCGTCTACATGCCCGACCACTCCTACGTGACCATCCGCAGCCGCCTCTCGGCATCTGTGCAGGACATCCTGGGCTCGGTGACGGAGAAGCTGCAGTACTCGGAGGAGCCTGCGGGCCGTGAGGACTCCCTCATCCTGGTAGCTGTGGCCTCTTCGGGAGGTGAGGGGTCAGAAAGAACCCCGCTGGGACCCAGGAGAGGAGACACTCACAAGCCCCTTGCCTGGGGCGGGTAAACACTGACTTCTAGGTCTGAGCTGCTCCAACTGTGGTGCTGGGACCAGCCACATGAGCATCTCCTGGGAGCTTATTAAAAATGCAATATGTCAGACCCCACTTCCAGACCTGCTGAGTCAGGGTGTGCGTTTTAACAAGGCCCCCAGGCTGTTATTCCGTGCACGTTTAAATTTGGGGAGCGCTGGTCCAGGACACCTGGATGCTGATCTGGGTGCCTGCCTTCCTCGTCTTGGAATTTCGCCCTTTAATCTCTCGGAATGCCGAAAGGTGCTTTGTTTTTGAGGCTAACGATGCAGGGCGAGCCTGCGGTCCTTGTGGGCGTACAAAATGCCTGCAACGCAGTCAGTGTATGTCCCTCTAAGACAGGAAAGAATTCCGCTTTTCCAGTGTCACAGGGACGAAAGAATGAGAGAGGAGCTGTGATAGAACACCGGGAGCTAAAAGAGAGGTTATCAATGCAAAAGAAGTCATTCTTTGAAAAATGTCAGAAAAGGATAGCACCAACTGGCAATAATACAAGTCCCGTTAGTCTAGAACAGTGGTCGGCAAACTCATTAATCAACAGAGCTAAATATCCACACTACAACGATTGACATTTCTTTGGAGAGCCCAGTTTCTTAAAGGTGAACTTCTTCTAAGGCCAGTTCTTCAGCATAGACTTGCCCAGGCCGTGGTATTTTGTGAAAGAGCCACACTCCAGGGGCCAAAGAGCCGCATGTGGCTCTTGAGTCGCAGTTTGCCGACCACGGGTCTAGAACGTGTCCACGCAGGGCGGGGAGTTTCTGGGTGGGATGGCGACCGCGGCTGGGAGTTGTGAGGGTGCAGGGGGCCGGGCCGAGGCCGAGCAGCTCGTATTTCTGCAGAGAAAGTCCTTCTCCAGCCGACGGAAGACTGTGTCTTCACCACGCTGGGCATCAACAGCCACCTGTTCGCCTGCACACGGGACAGCTACGAGGCGCTGGTAAGGCCGCCTTCCTCACCAGGCCTCTGCTGGGAGCCGTGGCCGGGGGGGGGGGGGGGGGGGGGGTGCTGGGAGCAGAACCTCAGGTGCCCAGAGGGGAGCCCAGCCCTGTCCCCCTGCCTGCCACCAGGTGCCCCTCCCCGAGGAGATCCAGGTCTCCCCTGGAGACACCGAGATCCACCGGGTGGAGCCTGAGGATGTCGCCAACCACCTGACGGCCTTCCACTGGGAGCTGTTCCGCTGTGTGCACGAGGTGGGCTGAGGCTGGAGCTGGCGGGGGGCCCGGAGGGGGGAATGTGCCAAGCGCGGGGCCTGGAGTGAGGCTGTCTCTGCGCCCAAAACCCCGGTTAGACGCAGGCTTGCAGCATGTCGGGGGGCAGTGCACCACCAGAACCTCTCAGCTTTGTCCCCCTCATCCGAGGAGACAGCAGAGAGAGAGGCCCCTCGCAGGGTGGCTCAGGGCCCAAGCGCTGCTTACCCACAACCTGAACCGTGGTTTACTAGTGTTTTTTGAGTATTTACTCTTTTTAAAAAATATATTTCATTGAATTTTTACAGGGAGGAACGGAGAGAGATAGAGTTAGAAACATGGATAAGAGAGAAACACAGATCAGCTGCCTCCTGCACAACCCCCTCTGTGCTTGCAACCAAGGTACATGCCCCTGACTGGAATCGAACCCGGGACCCTTCAGTCCGCAGGCCGACGCTCTATCCACTGAGCCAAACCGGTTTCAGCTTCTCTCTCTCTCTCTCTCTCTTTTTTTTTTTTTTTTTTTAATATATTGATATTTTTACAGAGAGGAAGGGAGAGGAATAGGAAGCTAGAAACATCAATGAGAGAGAAACACCGATCAGCTGCCTCCTACACACCTCCTACTGGGGTTGTGCCCGCAACCAAGGTACATGCCCCTGACCCGAATGGAACCCGGGACCCTTCAGCCCGGAGGCCAACACTCGATCCGCTGAGCCAAACCAGTTAGGGCGGGTACTTACTGTTAAAGAAATAAAACAAGGCAGCGATCACGATGTCTGTTACGTGGGTTAAGTGCCTGGCACCTCGCAAGTGCTCCGTAGATGGCAGAGCATTATTCACGTTGGCTGTTTCCCCCTCTCTCTCTGCTGCATCCTGCCCTGTCTTCTATTTTCTACCCCTCCCGCCCCAACGCTCCTGCCTGCCTTCCTCGCCGCCCGCACCGCCATCCTCCCGCCCACATCACCCCCCCACCACACCCCACCCCCGGCTGCCACGGCGCAGCTGGAGTTCGTGGACTACGTGTTCCACGGGGAGCGCGGCCGACGGGAGACGGCCAACCTGGAGCTGCTGCTGCAGCGCTGCAGCGAGGTCACCCACTGGGTGGCCACCGAGGTGCTGCTCTGCGAGGCCCAGGGCAAGCGCGTGCAGCTGCTCAAGAAGTTCATCAAGATCGCGGCCATGTGAGTGCAGGGGGGGCGGGGTGGGGGTAAAGAGGGGAGATGGGGCGGAAGCTAGCCAGAGGCCTGGGGTTGGGGGTGGGAGGGGCGGTGCCAGGGCCTCCTGACTGCCCGCTGACCCCGCCTCCCAACCCGCAGCTGCAAGCAGAACCAGGACCTGCTGTCCTTCTATGCCGTGGTCATGGGGCTGGACAACGCCGCCGTCAGCCGCCTGCGGCTCACCTGGGAGGTATGCGACCTCTCCCCTCCCCTCCTTCGCCCTCCCCTCCCCCCTCCACCCTGCACTGGCCCACCTGGGGATGTTGGCCGCCCGCCTGTCTTGACACCTGGGCTCACCTCCGTGGGAAAGAGGCGCCCACGCAGCCCTAGGGTGCCCAGCTCTGGCTGATGGGCCAGCCCTGTGCGGATGGGAACGGAGGCCCACCTGATGGGAGGGAGGGCAGCAGCCCAGGCCAGGCGGCACTCAGTGAGGTGCCCTGGGGCCTGGTGGAGGCCTCAGTCTCCCCAGGATAATTCATTTCTCTGGGCTGCTTCCAGCCAAGGGGGACTCCACTTCCCCACCCTCCGGCTTCCCGGGCCCTGCAAGACACCAGCCCTTTCCCCTCTGGCCCCGAGGGGCCAGAAGCTCCCGTGAAACTCGAGGAGCTCCCCTCCGACGCCCCTTCTCCCTTCCAATCCCCGCAGAAGCTGCCCGGGAAGTTCAAGAACCTGTTCCGCAAATTCGAGAACCTGACGGTGAGTGGCTCTTGTATCGGCCCTTGGACTTGTACCCCGGAGACTCTCTGCTCCCATAAACCTTCTCCCTCAAGCTTCCCTTTCAAGGTGCCTAGGATCCCCCTTCTCTTCCCACCATGCTGGAGGATTGCTCCCCCATTTCCCCGGAGAAGACTCCCTAGCACACCCCTACCTGATGGGAGACCTTCCTCAGCACCCCCCAGGGACACCCCCCTTCACACCCCTAGGGCTGGGGGATGAGGGAGGAAACGGGGTGTCTTTGGGGTACCCTGGGCCTAGCTGTCCCTTTACCCCTCTACTGCGCATCGCCAGGACCCCTGCAGGAACCACAAGAGCTACCGAGACGTGATCTCCAAGATGAAACCTCCTGTGATTCCTTTTGTGCCTCTGATCCTCAAAGGTGAGCGCTGTCCCGACTGTGCTCCTCTGGCCCCGGCTCTGCCCCCCAGCCCTTCCCGCTGAGTGCCCCAGGAGAGGAGCCCCCAGGCTGAGTGGATTCCAGGGAAGGGGAGGGGCCCTTTGAACCTCCTCTTGCCCACTCGTCTCTCTCTCCATCCCCTAGACCTGACTTTCCTGCACGAGGGGAGTAAGACCCTGGTGGATGGTTTGGTGAACATCGAGAAACTGGTAGGTGGCACTGCCAGCCCCAGCCCCTCCCCCTCTCCTGGCACCCCCTAAAGACAGCAGCCTTTCTCCCCGGTGCCCAGCTTGCCTGACAGACTCCCGACTATCTTCCTGGTGGCATCGCTGTGGCAACCCGCCCACGGGTGGGGTGGCAGAGCTGCCAGGCAGCTCAGAGGGAGGGGCAGCTCTGCCTCCCCCTCATCCGGCACCTGTGACACCCACTCTCTGGTGCTTCGGGGGGACCCTCCAGAATTGGGGACTGGAGGGAGCAGAACCAACAGAAGTGGAGCTCAGAGGAAGGGGAGCGTTGGGGGGGCATCTTTCTCTGACCTTCTCGGGCTCATTCCTTGTCACCCCCGCCCCCCCAGCATTCGGTGGCTGAAAAAGTGAGGACCGTCCGCAGATACCGGAGCCGGCCCCTGTGTGAGTACCGTTACAGGAGTTTACTGAGGGGAGGTTCCGGGAGAAATGTTTATTTCCTTAACTCCATCAGCTCTCCGTGCTCTCCGGGGCCTCCCCAGGGGCCCTCCTGCTCAGCACCTTGTCCTCTGGCCAGTGTGTGTGTGTGTGTGTGTGTGTGTGTGTGTGTGTGTGAGAGAGAGAGAGAGAGAGAGAGAGAGAGAGAGACTGTGTGAGTGTGTGTGAGTGTGTGTAAATGTATGTGTATGTGTGTGAGTGTGTGAGAGTGTGTGTGTGTGTGTGTGTGAGAGTGTGTGAGTGTGTGGGTGAGTGTGTGGGTGAGTGTGTGTGTGAGAGAGAGAGAGAGAGAGTGTGTGTGTGTTTGTGTGAGAGTGTGTGTGTGTGTGTGCACACGTGTGTGTAGAGGAAGAAGAGGCTCCAGCAGCCCAATGAGCTCTCCTTACACCCAGGCCTAGACATGGAGGCGTCCCCGCACCACCTGCAGACCAAGGCCTACGTGCGCCAGTTCCAGGTCATCGACAACCAGAACCTCCTCTTCGAGCTTTCCTACAAGCTGGAGGCCAACAGTCAGTGAGGACAGGCGCTGCGGACAGCCCGCAGGGTCCTCGGGCACCTGACACTCAAGCACTTTGCACCATGTCCCCCCCACCTCCGCCATCTTCCCCCTGGGGCAGCCTCCCGCCCCACGGGGAGGGGAAGCGCCCGGGGACTTACTCCGGGACTCCTGAGCCTGTTTATCCTGCTGACGTCCTCCCGCTGCTCCGTCAAGCCCACTCCACACTCTGCGGGCCCTGCCCTGCCAGGGAAAAGGGGCACAGAGCTCTCTCCTCTGCCCCCTCCCCTCCAGGTCTGTTCCCCGCCTCCTCTTCCCCAGCAGGAAGGAGAGCGGCTGCCCTCTGGGCCTCCACGGGGGAGGCCTGGCAGCCTTCCTCTCTCCCTCTGCTCCGGTTCTCCCCATTCAGGGCTGGGACCCTGGCTGCACCCCTCTGAGTATTCTACGGCCCTCGTGTCTGTGTGTGTGGGCGTGTGTGTACATGTGCCCCCCTTCGAGGAGCGGAAGTGCCCCTGGCCATCAAGGCAGGGTGTGTGCTGGGGGGGGAGGGGGGGTGTCCTTCTGTTTGGTGCTACCCTTGTCTCTCTGCCCCTGGGTCAGTGACTGTGGGTGCTACCCCCACGCCCACACTGCCTGCTCAGTGACCCCCGCTGCCCTGCACCCCGGGCGTGTGGGCCGAGCTGCCGGTGAGGACAGGGAGCAGCGGCAGGGGGAGGGCTTACCCGCCCCCGCCCCCGGCCCGGCCTCCTGAAGGCCCCTGGGAGGGCTCCGCGGAGAGGATAACAGATGCTCAGGGAAACACAGGCCCACGCTGCCTACAGGACCCGCCTTCTGCGTGCCAGGGGGATGTGGTGAGGCGGTATCAGGAGTGAGGGGCACCTGCTGCCCACACCCCTGCTTCTGGGGCATCCCCCTCCTGGCTCTGTGTCTGACACGAAGAACACGATCTGTCCTCTTCCCTGTCTTGACTCCCTCTTGGTCCTCTCCCTCAAGCTGGGGTGGGGGGCGTCCCTGTCCCTGGGGGCAGGCAGACCCCAAAGTGGGGGTCGGGGGCAGAGACGATACAGGCAGACTATGCCTTTCTTGCCTCTGTCTCCCCTCCCTCTCCCGTCACAGGCCTCCGGGCGGAGGGGAGCAGGGGCTCCTGGCAGCTACCGGGTGAGGTTTCCAGGCGCAGCCTCACCCTCCTCCCTGGCACCATGTCTTTCCCTCCTGAAGAGGCGGCGGCAGCAGCAGACACAGCTTGCTGTTCCTGCTCTGAGGATGTATATATTTTTTACCCAAAGCTCTGGAATTGTAATTTTATTTTTTAAAACTCAAAAGAGGGAAAGAGCCTTGTATTATATGTAAACAGTGTATCATAGGTTATGTTGTACAGTCCCTTTTATACAGTGGCCGGTCTCATTCCTGCAGCAAAAAAAAAAGTCTCTGATTCCCGCCCCCGCCGCCGCTGATGCAGCCCCCGCGTCTCCCCACCTCTGTCCCCCAAAGACAGTGACGGAGGCCCTCCTCCCTGCAGCTGCGGGCACCCGCTTCTCCCGGGGGCCGCCCGCCCTCCCCACCCCTCTCAGCAGCCTCCTCGCTCCAGCTCCCACACCCTCCTCCGCCACTGGGCCCACTGGGCCAGTCTTGACCCCTGCCCTCTGCCTCCGGGGCCTCCAGGCCTCCCCCGCCCCGCCCGCAGCTTTGCCAGAGTGAACCGTGTGTGCTGTACAGGCTCCGCTGGCATTGCGGCAGCTGCTGGGTGGGAAACAAGCTGATAAAGTCTATGAGTCAACCCTCCTGCTGTTCTCCATTCTGTTCCTTCGAGGCCCAGGGAGGCGAGAGGGGACCACAGCAAGAAGGTTCTGGAACGAGTTTGAAAATGTGGCTGCGAGCCCTCGCCGGTTTGGCTCAGTCGCAGGCGTCTTCAAACTACGGCTCGCGGGTCACATGCAGCCCGCAGAGGAGTCTGATCCGGCCCGCCAGGTTTTTTGGGCAGTGAGCGCAGCCGAGGTGTTACAGTAGGAATTAGTAGTTCATATAGTCCGGCCCTCCAGCTCTCTGAGGGACCGTGATCTGGCCCCCACTTTAAAAAGTTTGAGGACGCCTGGCTCAGTGGGTAGAGCTTTGGCCCACGGACTAACAGGTCCTGGGTTCAGTTCCCGTCAAGGGCACGCGCCTTGGCTGTAGGCTCGAGCCCCAGCCCAGGTCGGGGCAGGGGCAGGAGGCAACCAATGGGTGTGTCTCTCTCACATCAATGTTCCTCTCTGTCTCTCCCTCTCCCCTCCCACTGTCTCTAAGAATCAATGGAAAAGTATCCCCAGTGAGGATGAATGGAAATGTGGAGGGGAGGAGAAGGTGCCAAACCCCTAAGACATGTTACACTGTGGCTCAGAGTGAAGGTTTTAGTCCTTCCATGTTCCAGGCGCCATACGTGCATGATCCTGTTGAATTCTAACGCTGTGAGGAGGAGGGCGGAGGCATGGTCCTAACCTAAGGTCCATGTTACAGGGCGAGCGAGAGGGCAGACCTGGGCCTCTAACCTAGACCTGCTCCCTGCAGACAGCATGCACCCTCCACACAACCAGTATTTGCCGGTAATGTTAAGTCATGAGCAGCTAGAAGCTACGCTCCGGGGGATACCATATATGCAAACGGCTGTGCTGGAGCCCTGGACCTTCCCTCATCCTACATGCTATTTTCCTGATCTTCTGGATGTCAGAGAATGCTCCTCTCGGCCACCCAGGTTCCCCAGGCAAGAAAAGAATACAGGACTCACCCTGAATGGCTCTTTCATACCTTGTTCGCCTCATCGGCCAGCCCCAGAATATTAGTATATCCCAGCCTGATCCGCTGTTACCATGACGGTGACTTCTCTATTACCACCTAGTCCAAACCACGTTCATAGCTTCCCAGGACGACTACACTAGCCGCCTACTGTGCTCTCAGCTTCCTCTCTACACTCCTCCCCTAACCCCGCCAGTTAGTTCTCCACCTGCAGCCAGGGTGCTCCTTTAGAAACCTAACTCAGATCATTATGGCTAGCATGAAAAAGAGGAGCTTGCCAAGTGCCAGTGAAGATATGGAGAGCTGGGACTTTCAGAAACTGCTGGTGGGACTCGAAGTGGCTTCACCACTTTAGAACATTGTCTGGCAGTATCTGCTGAAACTAAATGCACCTCAACTCTGGCCTCGTGTGTATCCAAGGGAAATTAGTGCTTCTGTCCACCAACAGACATGTACACCAATGATCAGAGTGGTTTTACTCATGATAAATTGGGGGGAGGGAGTGTCCTTCAACAGGTGAATGGTTGAATGGACAAGCCAGTTGTTATATGTATGTATATATATTTAGAGTAGAAGGGAGAAAGAGAAGCATTGATGTGAGAGAGATACATTGACTGGTTGCCTCCCACATGTGTCTGACCAGGGCTGGGGATCGAGCCTGCAACTGAGGTATGTGCCCTTGACCAGAATTGAACCTGAGACCCTTCGGCCTGAGGGCTGATGCCTATCAGGTGAGTCCACGGTATATTCTTACAATGGAATACTGCATGGCAATAAAAAGGAACAAATGTCTACTTTCTGCACGAATGAATCTCATAGACATAATATTGAGTGAAAGGAGCCCGACACATAAGACTACATGCTGTGATAGTCCATTTAAGAGAAGTTCAAGATTGGGCAAAATTAATCAATGCAGATAGAAGCAAAGAATGGTTATTCGATGGGGTGGGAGAGAGCATTGTCTGGGAAGGGCATGGAGAAGCCCTCTGCAGTGATAGAAATGTTCTGTATTTTGACCTGGGGGTGGTACACGTGCGTGTGTGTGTGTGCATTGAGTTGTTCATGTGAGATTTATACATTTCACTGTAGTTATTTTATTTATATTATTTTAAAATAAATTTTATTGATTTTTCACAGAGAGGAAGGAAGAGGGGTAGAGAGTTAGAAACATCGATGAGAGAGAAACATCGATCAGCTGCCTCTTGAACACCCTCCACTGGGGACGTGCCCACAACCAAGTTTCATGCCCTTGACCGAAATCGAACCTGGGACCCTCCAGTCCGCAGGCCGACGCTCTATCCACTGAGCCAAACCGGTTTGGGCTGTAGTTATTTTATACCTCAACTGAAACAATTGGGATCGTAACACCCATTTCCAATAATCCTTAGATTAAAAATAAAAATCTCCTGCCCACCTCCTACCCCCTGACCCCCACGCACTCCACTCCAGCCACACTGAGCACCTTACTGCTCCTAAAACACATGGCATTCATTCTTGTCTCAGGGATTCTACCTTTGCCCTCCCTGAGCCTTTCCTGACCACTCTGATCCCACCCCCTCTCCGCCCTTACTCTCTGTCCCTTAGCCTCCTGTATGTTATCATTTCCCGACATCATATACACTTCCTGGTGTATTTGCTTCGGGGTCACTCCTCCACCAGAACGTCAGCTCCGTGAGTCTGACATTCAGTCACCGTTCAGTGCCGAGAACAGGACCTCGCACAGAGAAGACACTTAATACATATTTGCTGGATGAATAGATTAGGTTGGTTGAAATAGGAGCCATAAAACACACGATGGTAAGTGCTCTGGGGATTAAGCCAAGGATGTTCACTACTGGTCTGGGGACGGTGGTGGGGCACAATTAGAGGGGGGGGGGAAAAACTTTGGAAGCAATGGCCTGGGACTTGAAGCAGCAGAGGATTGGATGGCCAAAGTGTGGAAGTGGGAATCGGGAGGGCAGGAGGAGTGGTGTGGGCTATTTCTCTCATCCCATCTCAGCAATCATCAGACCCAGCACCTTGTAGGGGCGATGATAAAAGTTGACATTTGGAGGAAAGTCCTTGGCCACCCACTATGCTGGGCATCCTCTCATTTAATCTTCTCAACAAACTCAGGAGATTGGCTCTCTCCGCTCTGTTTTCCAGGTGAGAACTAAGGTCTGGAGAGGTTTCTCGGCAGAGGCACAGAGAGGCTAAGTCCCTAGCCCTGAGTTTCACGGCCAGTAGAGATCTGAACCTAGTTATTCTGACTCCAGAGCCCCAGTTTAAGCTCCGCACAATCCTGGGATATTGAGGAGCTGAGGAACGCCCACCTTGTGCTCACCAGGCTGCAGTGGCCACCTGACTATAGCTGAGGAGACTATCCTTTCTGGTCCCTTTCCTACCTGTGTTTTGCTTCCTTGTGGGGAGAGTGGCCGAGAGACTCAAAAGGTGGTTCAAGGGTTCTGTGGGCGGGGTGGGGGAGAGAATAAGCTTATTAAGTAGCATTGCACCTTCTAGGCTGGTCTAGCAATGGTGACAATGATTTGGAGCAGTCAGAAGACCAGTGTAATAAGATGCCTACCCTCCTGATCAGGTGTTAAGATCAAGAAGAGTGAAGAATTTAAGCAATACCCTTTGAATCCGCTAGGTGTCGCCACCAAAACTATTGTACTTTCTCACCACTCTTGGGAACCGGGAGGAGTGGGACAAGGAGAATGGGAGGGACGCTAGAGCATTTCTCCGGGATCTCTTGAATCTGTCTGAAAGAGTCTATCCCCAAAGATGAGACATAAATTTGACCAGAATAACTGGTATCATTTATTCGCTCCGTCTCTACTGGCTCTTTGCCATTAGCATTGAAACCCTCTCAAGTCTCTATTTGTAAAAACATGTTCCTTGACCCACCATGCCTGCTGTAGTCACCGTCCCCTCTCTCACTTTGGTTCATGGCCAAACTTCTTCAAAGGCTTGATTCCACTTATTGTCTCCACTTCCGCGTCTCCCATTCATTCCCTTTTTTATTTTGTCTTGTTTCCCCAACTCTTCATCATAAAAAATTTCAAACATAGAAATGTTGAAAGATTAGTACAATGAATACTCTTAAATCTTTCTAGGTTCTATAATTAACATTTTGCTTTTGTTCTCTGTGTGTGTCTCTCTTTCTCCACACACACACACACACACTTTTTCCTTTGCCAAGCTATCTGAAAGTAAGTTGCCTCAGCAGGAATCTCCTGAGAATAACATTCTCCTACACACCCACAACAACATTGTCATACCTTGAGAAAAATCAATATATTTCTATGATATTTAATTTCTAGTCTATATTTATTTTCCCCAGGTTGTCTCAAAAAATATCTTCAAAAAATGTTAAAAAAAACACACAACAAAACCCTTCCTGATCTAATCTAGTTCCATGTGTTGCATTTGGTTGTTATATATCTATAATAGTTCATTTTCTTTTTTAATTTAAAAAAATTTATTGAGGAGAAAGAGAGGGATATATATATATATATATATATATATATATATATATATATACATAGCTCCATCCATTTATGCACTTATTGGTTGACTGCTATGTGTGCCCTGACTGGGAATCAAACCTGAAACTAACTGATGTGTGCCAACCAACTGAGCCAGAGAGGGAGGTCTGGATTCCGGTGGGCAGTCTGGTACCTCAACTGGACATTGGGTTATGGAATAATAGTCTGGGTTCCTTATAGAGATCTAGTCCCCTGATATACCACTGTGTTCGGTGTTTGTGGCCTGGGCCCAGGTTGGCAATCAGTCCTGCCATGAAGGTCTGGGATCCAGATGTAGGTCTGGGTGCTTGGAGGGAAGTGTGGTCACTAGGGGGTGCTATGGGCCCAGGTGGGAGTTTTGGGTCAAGCGCAGGACCTTGGGATGATTAAATGGTGGTCTGGACTAGCCTGGGTATTTAGACTCCAATAAAGTATAGTCAATGTGTTCTTGCCTGGGTCCCTGGAATGGCCTTCTGGTCCTCTCCATAAAGGTCTAGGACCCGACTACAACCTGTTTGGCTCAGTGGATATAGCATCGGCCCGAGGACTGAAGGGTCCCAGGTTCGATTCCAGTCAGGGGCACTTAACTTGGTTACGGGCACATCCCCAGTGAAGGGGTGTACAGAAGGCAGCTGATTGATGTTTCTCATCGATGTTTCTAACTCTCCAACCCATTCTCTTCCTCACTGTAAAAAATCAATAATAAAAAAAAAAGGTCTGGGACCCAGATGGAGGTCTGGGATCTGGAGGGCAGTTCCAGCCAGGGAGAGAGGTTTTGGCCTGGGGGGCGCTCTGTTACCTGATGAGGACATCTGGGTTATGGAAATGGTGGTCTGGGTTACAAATTGAGAAGTACACCCAGGATACAAGTCTGAAATCTGTGTTTTAGGCCTGGGCTCTGGGATAAAATTCTCGGCCTGGCCATGGTAGTCTGGGTCCCGGATGTAGGTGTGAGCACCAGGTGCAGGTCTGGGGCTTATGAGGGCAGTTCAGGCCTGGAGGAAAGTCTGAGCCCTGGGCCAACAGATACCTCACCTGAACATCTTAGTTAAGGAACAGTTGTTGGGGTTACGCATAGAGATCTAGTCTCCTGATACAACTCAGTGTTTCAGGTTTGTGGCCTGGGCCCTGAATTTACCTACTGGGCCCCGCCATGAAGATCTGGGACTTGGATTTAGGTCTGAGGCCCGGATGTAGGTCTGGTTGCTTGGATGTAGGTGTGGTCTCTAGGATGTGTTATGGGCCCAGGTGGGATGTTTGGGTGAAATGCAGGACCTTGGGATGATTAAATGGTGGTCTGGACCAGCCTGGGTATTTAGACTCGAATAAAGGGATAGGCAATGTGTTCTTGCCTGGGTATGTACCTTGGCTGTGGGCAAATCTTCAGTGGGGGGTGTGCAGGAGGCAGCTGATGGATGTTTCTAACTTTTTTTTTTTTTAATATATATTTTATTGGTTTTTCACAGAGAGGAAGAGAGAGGGATAGAGAGAAACATCAATGAGAGAGAGTCATCGATCAGCCGCCTCCTGCACACCCCCCACTGGGGATGTGCCCGCAACCACGGTACATGCCCTTGACCAGAATCGAACCCGGGACCCCTCAGTCTGCAGGCCGACGCTCTATCCACTGAGCCAAACCGGTCCTGGCGTTTCTAACTTTCTATCTCTCTCCCTTCCTCTCTATAAAAAAATGAATAAAATATATTTTTCAAAAACATGACCCTATAATAGCTGAGGTCCCTACTACCTGTCCTTGATCACATCTTCTTCATTTCTACCCAGAGGCAACCACTTTCCTGACTGTGGTATCATTTCCATGCATTTTTGTGCACTTTTACTTCATATGTATACATCTCAAAACGATAGAGTGTTTTGCATATTTTTTAGTAACAGTTTTATTGAGATATAATTCACATACCCTGTAATTCACATGTTTAAAGTATACAGATCAATGACTTTTTAGTATATTCACACAATTTGTAATCATCACCACAATCAATTTTTGAATATTTTCATCACTCCAAAAGAAACTCACTGTGGAAGAATGTTCATAGTAGCATTATTCAAAATAGCCAGAAAGTGGAACAATTCAATGTGTGTCAACTGATGAATGATAAACTAAAATGTGGCATACCCCTTAAATGGTATGATACTTGGCCATAAAAAGGAATACTGTACTAATGCTGAGACATGGATACACCTTAGAAACATTATGCTAAGTGAAAGCTGGATGAAAAAAGATGACATATTGCATGATTCCATTTATATGAAATGTCCAGAGTAGGCAAATCTATAGAGACAGAGAGTGGATTGTGATTGGTTGGAGATGGAAGGAGGGCAGATTTGGAAGAGACTGGTAAGAATTAGTAGTAATGTTTCATAATGTTGTGACTATACTAAAAACCACTCAATTGTGCACTTTAAAGTGAGTAAAATGAGTTCATGTTACGTAACTTTTATTTACTTGACTTGTAGACATATCACTCCATCTTCACATTGTGTTCTCTCTTGTATGTGAATTTAGGGCTCACCCTAATTTAATGTGACCTAATCTCAATCTGACCTCAATTTAACTAATTACATCTGCAAAGAACTTAGTTCCAAATAAGGTCAAATTCTGAATGAATGTGAATTTTCGGAGGACATTATTCAACCCACGGCAAGATCCGAATTAAATGTTATGATACATGAAGTTATGACAGTGCCTACCACACGATAAGTACTGTGAAATAGTTATAATTACTTCTTTGACCTAACTTCTTGCCTCTCCTATAGTTCTAGCTCTAACCACATCAAAATGCTATTTTTATTTTATTTTATTTTATTTTTTTTAATATATTTTATTGATTTTACAGGGAGAGGAATTGAGAGGGACAGAGAGTTAGAAACGTCGATGAGAGAGAAACATCGACCAGCTGCCTCTTGCACACCCCCCACCGGGGATGTGCCCGCAACCAAGGTACATGCCCTTGACCGGAATCGAACCCGGGACCTTTCAGTCCGCAGGCCGACGCTCTATCCGCTGAGCCAAACCGGTCCTGGCTTTATTTTATTTTCTTTAAAAAATGTTTTAATCCTCACCCGAGGATGTGTTTTTATTGATTTAATTTTATTATTATTTATTTACTTACTTAGTTACTTATTATTTCTATTGACTTCTGAGTGAGGGAGAGAGCAATAGAAACATGAATGATAAGAGAGAATCATTGATCGGCTGCCTCCTGTGCACCCTCTACTAGGGACTCAGCCCACAACCTGGGCATGTGCCCTTGACCAGAATTGAACCTGGAACCCTTCAGTGGATAGAGCAGCCTCTTTTTATTGACTTTAGAGGGAGGAGGGAAGAGAGAGAATGAGAGAATGACAGAGAGACATTGATCAGTTGCCTCCTGTATGTGCTCTAGCTGGGGATCTAACCCTCAACCTAGGTATGTGCTCTGATGGGAATTGAACCCAAGATCCTTTAAGCGTATGGGCCAACAGTCTAACCCCTGAGTATGCTGGTCAGGGCCAAAATGCTTGTTTTTAGAATATGCCATGATTCTTCTTTTGCACATACTCTTCCTCTGCTTTGAAATGCTTTCCCTCCCCTCTGCCTCTGGCCAATTCCTACTTACTCATCAGGCCTCACTTAGAAGTTTCTTTATGAAGTCCCCACATATCTCCCTAAATCTGGGTGAGATGTCCCTGTATTCCACCCCAGTGGCTGTCGTTATCATAGAGTGTTGTTGTAGACAGAGAATGGAAGCTTACACTAGCTGTGGTGGGTAGGGAAGATCCTCTGAAGGGAGAGCATTTGAGCTAAGGCCTGAAAAATGAGGATGAGGCAGAGTAAAGCCAACACACACACACACACACACACACACACACACACACGCCTTGAGAAACCACTTGGTGTGTTGTTGCAATGGGAAGCACAGTGTATAGTGAGCAAAGACAGAACAGAATAAAAATGAGGCTGAAGAGCTGGGAGTTTGGATCCATCTGGCCCAGTCACCCTGATCTCAGGGATGCAGAACTACATACCTGAACATCTTTACCTCTGCACCTACCGAACCCTACGTCTGGAATGTGATCCTTGCCTTCTCTGATTAACAATAAAATCCGACTCATCCTTCAAAGCCGAGTTTAAAAGTGTTTACGAACCCTTCTTCCATTCCTTAGCGGGAAGTAATCACTCCCTTGCCTCATGTCCCAGAGCCCTTATGTCCCCATAGCACTAATCACGTGCTGACTTGTAGTTCAGCTAGCTGTTTACATGCCAATCTGCTCCTCCACGGTGAGTTCCCTGAGGCAGAGGCTCAGTCTCATCCACGCTGCAGCCTCCTCCTGGTGCCTCGCCCGGAGCATAGCCCACAGCAGGTGCTCAATGAATGCTGTGACATTTACTTGACTAGTGGGTGGTGCTTAGCACTACTAATGGCAGAACACGAAGGAAAACAAAAATAATAACAACTTCTGGCTTATCACCTGTTTTCCCATTCATTACCTGATTGGAGCCCAGGAAACAGTCGAGACAGGCACTATTAGCTCCATTTTATAGATATTAGTGGAGCTCCAAGGGCGCACAGATAGGGTATAGTGGGAACGAAATCCTACTCCTGTCTCCTTGATTCAGAGGAGGGGGCCGGAGGTGAAAGATGATGGAGAGCATTGTGAAGATATAGGGCATAATAAAGCAATGGGCTAGGCTGCAGTGGAATGGTCCTATTGTGGGTGGACTAGGGAGAGATCCTGTTGGCTGGGGTGGAGTTAGCAGCCCCAGCAGGGAGGGCACAGTGTTCCTCTCCCTGACTCAAGCAGCTGGAATAGATTGCGGCGCCATCCCCCAGCCCTGGAGCCAGGGAACCTCTGACCTAGGAAAGAGGAGACGGGTGTTCACGAGGTGTTCGGGTCAGGTGGCTAAGATGACGTTAATGATGTCATGTTAGCGGGGAGGGGGGGCGGGGGGGGCGCTGCCTCTCAGTTGCTATGACAACCGAAGCTTGACTGAGGCCTTGCAAGGTTGACCGAGGCGGGGTCTTCGTTGTTAACTCGAAATTAGGGAAGGACAGACATTATGTGGTGCGTCTGTGGATGCGCGCAGTGGAATAAAGACGACACGGAGGTATATTCAAGACCCTGTTTAGCTCACTGATGATGCACCTCGGAAATATTAGAATCATCTGCGCAGTTGTTTTTTTAAAAAAATCCCGATGCCTAACAGCGTCCCCAGGACCAGTTAATTCCATCTCTGGGAGGGCAACTCGGGCATCACTACACGTTTGTGTTCCCAGGTGACTACAGCCGAAACCAAAGTTGCAAACCCTGCTCTTCGGTAAGTGGGTGAAATTCCCGCGACCTTCCCAAGATGGCGGCGAGCGGGCCGCTTCCGCTTTGACGTGCGCCGGCGGGAGGCGGGCCTTCCGGGCGCGCACGCGCGGAGCGTCCCTTGGGCCCCGGAGCCGAGCTCCCGTTCCCCCGCCTCCATTTTGTTCGCGGACGCTGGGGACAGTGGGAGCAGATCTATTTCCGGGTTGGCAAAAAGGGGCGGCGGCGGCGGCGAGAGAGGGAGCTCGCCGGGCGGGGGTCGAGCAGAACGGGACCAAGTCGGAGAGGAGGCGGCGGCGGCGGATCTGCTCCCGGAGCCGCGGTGGCCAGGTCGGAAGGGGGCCGGGGAGGCTGGGTCTGTCGCCGAGATGACCTGCGGACCTGAGTGGGAGGGGGAGCCGGGGGAGGGGGACTGGGGCGTGGCTTCAGGGGAGAGGGGCATCGGAGGAGGGGCCTGACGGGGGGGAGAGGGGGCTGGGGGCGGGGCCTGCGGGCGGGAGTCCGGGGCTGGGGCCGGGGGACCCGGAGGACCCGCAGGACCCGGAGGAGGGGGCGTGGGGAGTCCCGGCGGCGGGAGTGGGCGGGGATGGGTGTGGGGCGGGCGCTGGCCGTGGAGATGGGGAGGGAGGGTGTTGGGAGGCAGGGATTGGGGGGGCCCTGAGTTTTGGGTAAGGTGAGTAAGACGGCAGTTCTGGGCGAGGAGCGACGTAGCCGTGCGCAGAAGCGGGGAGCCGGGGAGGGAAGACCTGTTGGGAACCGGTAATGGGCTGGATGCTCCGGATGTCGGGAGGTCAGTGTGACATGTTGGGATGGAGCTGAGCGAGAACTTGTGGTTGAGAGGTTGCCTCGGGGAGACTGTGGACTGCAGAGGGAATGCTGAGGGCGTGGGTCTGGCAGGAATCACAGTGGAGCCCAGGCCGGGATGGGAGGTGTTGAGATGGACCCGGAGAGGAGTGCTCGGCTCGGGGTGGGTCCCGGGAGGGAAGGCAGGACGCTTAGCGTGTTAAACGTGGGCAGTGTGCGCGGTGGGTGAGTTATACTGAGCCGGAAGGGACATTCTTAAAAGATAACACTGGGGTGACAAACTGGAAGAACTGGTGTGTATTGCGATTCGTAATTTTAAAGGGATTGGAATAATCTGTTACTGCTGTGGCTCTCCCGAGATCCACCTCCTTTTTCATGTTGTTATTATTTTGCCTTAACAGTTTCTGTTTCTGAATGACTTGCTGAGTGCCTTTGGTGATATTCTCTCCCGCCCCGCCCCCCCTTACAAACTGCAAAAGAACCGCAGGGAATAAGGACTGTCCTAGCACACCTATGGGTTTACTCAGTAACTTTGAGGCAAATTGTTAAAATGTCTCAAACCCTTTGAAATATAGGTTTGGTCCCTCACGGTTCCTAAAAGGTTGTTTTAACCAAATGAGATCTTTATTATTATTATTATTATTTTTAATTTTACTTACTGGTTTTTAGAAAGAGAGCAAGGAGAGAGAGAAAAACATGGGATTCCACTTATTTATGTGTTCAATGGTTGCTATTCTTGTATGTCGCCCTGACCAGGGCTTGAACCCCCAACCTTGGCATCGTGGTATGCTGCTCTAACCAACGGATCTGGAGCTACCAGGTCAGGGCTCCCAAATGGGACCCTTAAGTGGTTATAAAGAAGGAATCTCTGAAAACAAGATTGAGATACTGCTATTTAGAAGACATGTCTTTCTTGGTTCCTCCTGCATTTTTTATTTTATTTATTTATATTTTTTAAAGAATGGCCAGGCGAGGAGGGGCTGCGAGAGGGGAGGTTTATTTTATTTTTTATTTTTATTTTTATTTTTAATATATTTTATTGATTTTGTACAGAGAGGAAGGGAGAGAGATAGAGAGTTAGAAACATTGATGAGAGATAGACATCGATCAGCTGCCTCTTGCACACCCCCTACTGGGGAAATACCCGCAACCAAGGTACATACCCTTGACCGAACCTGGGACCCTTCAGTCTGCAAACTGACGCTCTACCACTGAGCCAAACCGGCCTCGGCTCCATCCCCCTTTTTAAAATATATATTTTATTGATTCTCTACAGAGAGGAAGGGAGAGGGATAGAGAGCCAGAAACATCAATCAGCTGCCTCCTGCACACCCTCTACTGGGGATGTGCCTGCAACCAATGTACATGCCCTTGACCGGAATCGAACCTGGGACCCTTCAGTCCACTGAGCCAAACTGGTTAAGGCGACCACGCCCCCCCCCTTTTTTTTTTTTAACTTTTCTCATCCTCAACTTTTAGTAGCCATAAATTTCATATAATTATATTACATTGTATTGGCTGCCATCGAGATAGAAGGAACTTAGAGTTGGGGTGAATGAGATCTGTTAATGGAGAATGGGGGAGAATGCAATCTAGCCACCCAGAATAGTTTACTCTTTAAAAAAAAAAAAATGTCCGCCAAACTGGTTTGGCTCAGTGGATAGAGCGTTGGCCTGTGGACTGCAAGGTCCCAGGTTCGATTCCGGTCAAGGGCATGTACCTTGGTTGCGGGCACATCCCCAGTGGGAGGTGTGCAAGAGGCAGCTGATCGATGATTCTCTCTCATGTCTAACTCTCTATCCCCCTCTCTTCCTCTCTAAAAAATCAATAAAATATATTTTAAAAATAAATAAAATAAAATAAAATAAAATGTCCCCCATTTCTTAATTACTTTACTCTTGACAAACACTGATTTTCCTCATGATGTCTGAAAATTCACTGAGGTGTAATATTTTAGACAGTTGAGCCTTTGGTTTTGGCCCATTCACTTTTGCCAGTTGGTAGAGACCAGTGTGCTTGTGAACAATTTGAACTTGATTGTTAATCCTCTGAAATCTTGACTGTTTTAGCTTTTCGTTTGGGCATTAGAGCCTAACTACTCTGCCCATCGGTGGACTTGTGTAGTGCGGAAGTGTTCCTGAAAGTCTTGGCATTTCTGAGGTCTGACGTGGATTTGCTTAAGGGTGGGCATTTTCCCATTCTATTGTACACCTGCTATCAGTGTTTACTTAGTTAATACTGATTAGTTATGTCATGTCAGCACAAAGGGGAAATGCTGGGGAAGGCGGAAGGTGTAGAGAACAGTGTAATTTTTGGATTTTACTTTCAAGAAGGGAAGAGAGGTATCCTGTTTCTGTTAAGGAGAAAATCGTTAGGTGTTCTTTCTTGACCTCTTGACTCTTTGATATTCACCAGGTGTACCTGAGTCTTTTTTCCTATTGCTCTTGAAGTAATTCTGGAATTTGTCGCTTGCTGGTTCGGGCTGGTCAGCAAACCATAGTCTTCATAATAACTCCAGGAAGAGCTGCATGCTATGAAGTATGTGCACTTATTTGAGACTATAAACTTGCTTAATATTTTGCTGTCATTTCAACCTACAGTGTGTCTTTCGGTTTGTTTTTAGAAAGATTTTGAAGTAAGTTACAGAGGCTCAGAGCTTTTGGAAGGCTTTTTAAAAGAAATACATTTCTATTAATTTCAGAGTGGAAAGGAGAGGAAGAGAGAGATGGAAACATCAATGTTGAGAGAGAATCATTGGCCAGCTGCCACCGATCAAGTGCTCAACCCGGGCTTGTGTCCTTGACTGGAATCGAACCCGGGACTCTTCAGGCCACAGGTCAATGCTCTATTTACTGAGCCAAGCTGGATGGGGCAGAAGGCTTGTAATATAGTCTGCTTGTTTAACATAATGATTTCCCATTTTTTCTTGTCCTGTTACTTTTTTCCTTCGCTCTACTTAGCCAGTCCTGAGTGGAAATGGCAAATTACCCCCCCCCCCCCTTCTTTTTAGTCTTTGGTGGACTTCTTGTCTGGGTCACAGTTTGATACCACCAAATTGAAAGGATTCTTGATTTCTTCAAATGGGGTGGGTGGCAGAAGCTGAGCGGGTTTCCTGGCCAGAGAATGGATTATGTCAAAGCAAAGAATAGTTGCAGAAACACAAACCGGCATCTTGAAGCTGTGACTAACATTTTGGCAACATACCTCCCTTTGCCAAACAACTTCTTTTCTTCTTCAGTGTGATTGTTGATCTCCTCAAAGTAGGCTCTTGTTGCTACTGTTCTTCACACAACTCCCCGCAGAAGTTGACAGGGTTCCAGTGGACTGTCCCTTGAGGGATATGCCCCGGATTAGAGTAGATGGAGTGTTCCATGTCAGAATGAGGTTCATGGCAGATCCTGAGACCTGCTCTGCGAGGAAATAGAGGCAGTACTCTGCACCGAATGTTTTTGTGCTCCTTTATGTTTTTCCCAAATTCAAATCTGTTTCTTATTCATCTGGTGATTAAATGCAGAATCATTGCCTTTGTCTAGCTTTGGAAGACCAGGGTATTGAGGAAGAGAGAGAAAAAGAGATTTCCGATATATGTTTTTCGTCCACTCTCTCTCCCAAGCCTTTGAATTTGGGGAGCCACAGGCTAACCCCCCAGGCACTGCGTGGTATATTACAGAAGGGTATTTAAAATGCTGCATAGAACTTTATGGAGAAAAACAATGTTAGTAGGAAAAAAAGGTGATATATTTGCTAATGTCTGTGTCAGTCTTAGATTTTGATTTAACATGTGGAAAGAGCTGGTGGAGGCAAATCAGTTATCAAATAGAGCCAGGAATTGGCTTCTAACTTGCCACTTAGGCTTGGCAAAGTTATAACAATTTAGAATGGCTATACTCAATACTTTGTTCTACTTAGTAAATGCCCTTTGAAGATAACAGTGCCTCTGATAGGTCTTGGGATGGATTATTATGATCATTTCTTGTACTGTATGACAGTGGTTCTTGTCACATGGGAGACCCCAAGATAAGTCCTCTTGTTGGTGGCCCTAGATTTGGCTTCCTCATGCCATCATCAGTCCAGTGGATTCTGTTCCTCATGTGCAGGGTTGGGAGACTCAACTGGTTCAGATCCAAAGATTTTAGTGTGTGTGTGTGTGTGTGTGTGTGTGTGTGTGTGTGTGTTTTAAAAATCCTCATCTGAGGATATGTTTATTGATTTTTAGAGAGAAAGGGAGAGAGAAACATTAATGTGAGAGATAAATATCAATTGGTTGCCTCCTGCATGCTCCCACAATCTAGGTATGTGCCCTGACCAGGAATCGAACCTGCATCCTTTTTGGTGTACTGGACGATGTTCTGACCAATTGAACCACCCAGCTGGGGCCAGATTCAAAGGCTTTAACTCTTGCCCAGGGCTTTGATTGTGGTAACAAATTAGAGTTGTGTTTAAACAAGTCTCAGATCTTTCTTTCCTGAAGTGTATCTTGAAGTTTGGCGAATCTGTATTTTTATTTATTTATTTAAATTCTTTAT